CTGTTCGAGTGGTCCGAGCGCATGCTGCCCAGCTGCATGGCGGACATGTTCGAGTCGATGATGCTGCGCATCGCAGAGCGCAGCAGTGGCAAGTTCTACCAGCGTTGGCATGAGCTCCCCGGCGAGGAACAGGAGCGCATACTGGACGTCGGGCAGTTTGCGTTCACCATGCTAACACGTCGCAAGCTGGTGTTCAAGGAGGCCGAACTGGACGAGCATAACCTGAGCAAGGAGGCCATCGAGCTGTGTCTGGTGGGCTACGATAGTACCGGGTTCGACGCGCAGCGACTCTGGCGTTTCTCGCACCTCACTCTGCAGGAGAGCCTCGCCGCAAAGTACATCGCGCAGCGCTGCTGCCTGGACAGCGGCGAGAACGTGCGCTGGCTGGTCGACAAGCTGAAGACGCTCACCGGCCACCTCAGCACGTTCTGGGTGCTGCTGTCGTCGCAGCTCAAGCACCACTGCGTCGACACTCTCATCAGCAGCATCTTGAACGAGCAGGCGAGGAACTCTTCACACACCACCAGTTGTATGACCATGCAGGATGACAGCACTGACCAAACGGCACCTGGAGAACGCCACCAACAGCAGCTGGGCCATCATGTGGACGATGTGCACGACTTTCTTTTCATGGACAATGCGAGGCTGCTGGAGATTCACGAGAAGCTACTCGACGTGCTCGATCGGCGAGCAATGGAGATGCTTGCTGGCACGCTGGAGGTCGGCGTAGTGACAAACACCGGCCGCATTGCTGTGTCCAACCAACAGCAGCCGCAGCAGCAGGATAGAGAAGGCACCGACAGCGCCTACCTGAAGACGCTTCTGTTCGTGTGGAAGCGGCGAGTGGCGCAGGCCAACTGCGCTATGCTGCACCGCGCCGTGCGTTGCGTAGACTCGAGCCTCGCTGACAAGTGTGCGCTGTTTCTCCTGCCAGTCATCGTCTCCAGCGCCAGAGAAAGCGGCGCAGACGAAGACTTCGGCGTGACAAGCACCGGAATCCCGATGCCCGGCATCACTGGTGACCATGGCGACGGTGATGGCATGGCCGTCGCCAGCGGCAACCGCACGTCGTGGTACGAGCAGAGCGGCTATACTGGCAAAGGTCTGCCGTTCCTGCTGAGCCGCAGTATCACACGCGACGGCAGCTGTGAGTCGGATCCGGCCGCGGTCACACCAACCTGTTCCGCAACACGCTCAGCGTGCGCCTCAGGCGAAACACTCCGGCCAGACCGAGTGGCGAGCAACGGTTCTTGGGACCTTTGCCCGGACGAAGTCACCGGGCTCTTCCGAGAGACCGTGCTCGACGGGCGGCCAAACATTGCGCCTGTGCCGCAGCCGGCTCATCCCCAGCAACAGTACCAGCAGAGCTGCATACTGCTGGCCATGCGATGCTTCAACGAGTATGCAGCGGCGGCGCACAGCCCCAGGAACAGCACGAGGAACAGCCGCAACCACAGCACCGTACTCCGAACAAGCAGCAGCAGCAGCATCACTGGCAGTGGCCGACAGAACAGAAGCAGCAGCACACTCACTGGCAATAACAGCAGCAGCAGCAGCCGCAGCAGCAGCAGCAGCAGCAGCAGCAGCAGCAGCAGCAGCAGCAGCAGCAGACGGAAACAAGGAAACAACAGCGGAGGCATTGGTGCCGGTACCTGCGATGGTGGCAGTCGCGACAGCAGTGGAGGTGATGGCAGCATTCAAGTAGGCGGCGTGGCCAGTCTACACCGAGTGCTCAGTGAGCACGGCGTGGACTTCTCCGGTCACCTGCTGACCAAGAGCGACTGCAAGGCCATCTCCTACACACTGCGACATCATGCCGAGTCGGTGCGGCAAGTGTCGCTACGCGACTGCGGGGTGGACGGTGAGAGCGGGGTTGATCTGCTGAAGAGCCTACTGGGCTGCGGCAATCTAAACGCCCTCAATCTGGCTGGCAATCAGCTGACGGCAGAGAACATGACGCTAGTGTCCGACATCATCACCAACAACAGCGACACGCTGACCAGTGTGCGACTGGACCACAACGCCATCGGCGACGCTGGCCTGCAGCGCCTGGAAGACAGCCTGTACCACTGCAAGAACGTCGTCGTGCTCGGCCTCGGACAGTGCGCACTGACCTCTAACAGCCTGAGTACGCTGGCGCGCATCATCGACCGCTGCCGGATGGTCAACTGCATCAATATCGAGCAGTGCCGCATCGATGACCTAGGCCTGCAGCAGAACCTGGAGATGCCGCTGGCACGTTGTAGCCTCCACGCCCTCAACCTGCACAAGAATGATTTGACGGCGCGCTGCGGCAAGGCGCTCAGTCACATCCTGTCCTTCTCGGACCAGCTGACGCGCCTCAACCTGCGATTCAATGCACTCGGCGACCAGGGCTTGCTAGACATTGCCGACGCGGTCAAGAGCTGCACACAACTGGTCATCGTCCTGCTCGAGGGCACCAAACTGACGTCCAAGTCCCTAAGACCACTGACGGATATGATTGGCAAGTGGGAACGGCTCCGCGCTCTCGATCTCAACACGAACGACTTCAGCGGTGGCGGCTCCGCCCGCAGTCACAGGCACCACGAGGCGGCGACGGCAGCGACTGCGTTTGCCCGGGCCATTCACCGTCACCCGACGCTCTCAGAGCTGCAGCTACCCTGCATGGCCAAGGTGAGCGACCACTTGCACCTGACATTGATCAAGAACAGTCGCCCGGGCCTGAGCGTGTACCTCAACTCCAAGCCGCTACTCTGCGATCTCGATTCAACCGAATCGTTGAGCATCAGCACTTGATATTTGTGCATTCAAAGGTCATACCGCCATGGACCGAAGTACCACAAGCATTGAGCATCAGTACTTGTTATTCATTCATTCAAAGCTCATACCGCCGTGGACCGTGTCACCACTTGGCAATTCCGAGGCACTGCTAGCCGGCACTCAGCACGTACAGATGTACATGTATTCCAGTTGAACAGGGCGGGCTGCGGATCCTGCCACCCCGCTGCAACAAGCTGACGCAGAGCAAGACCAAAACCGGAAACTATCAACTGAGCACAGCATTGACGAGGGAGCTGACGAGCTGCTGGATGGTTGTAGCACAAGCGAACAACGAATACAGGGATAGTGAATTGCCACCATAAAGGAAAGCAGAGTACGGATCAGGAATTCAACATGCCACTCACAGGACCCAGAGCAATCCCAGAGCAATCAAGACGGCAACAGATACCGGCAGTTCTGATCATAATCTGACAGCGCTGTGGTGAACACAGCACTCATACACATCACCTTCACACACGGCCTTGAGTTGATACCAGCGCGTGCATCGGCAGTGCAACCCAGACACTCACTCAGCAACAACACACACATGCTGCAAGTCCTCGTCAGGTAACACGTGGCCTCCAGGACCGTGAGAAATATTACACGCTAGCCACGGAACATCACAATAATTATCAAGATTGTACTCCACTGAGGTCGTTGAGTTGTTATTTTACTATCCAACCTGAGTGTATTTATCTGTGCCCGTGCATTGTAGCTGCACTAACGAGGCCTCATTGGCGGAAGCAGGTAGTCGTCCTTTGGAGGACTGAGTCTGTGCTCTTATGATGAACAGAACACATGTTCAGTAGAAGAGCGGGCGACGCACTGAGCTGACTTGCACGGCCAGTGCAGTGAGTTATCATAGTGTTTATTTAATTATCTCCTATTAAGACCAATGCCAACGGTAACTAGTCACCGGGAGAATGTGTCACGGACCGCTTCGCGAAACGCATGCACGCACACACGCGCGCACGCGTGCCCGCGCACACACACACACACACACACACACACACACACACACACACACACACACAAGCAAGCACACACACACACACGCACACACACACACGCACACACACACACATACACACGTACACACACACACGCACACATCTTGACCGTGACACGCAGCTGTCGTTTTATAACAGCTCAGGTGCCCTCACAAAGGGGACGCTGATACGCACGTGCATACTGCCCGAATACTGCACTCTACAACTACCCACACTACAGTGCATTTCAAAACTATAGGCGCGTAGGGTTTTTGAAATATTTCAAATTTGGTTGGAACTTTTTGAGAATAGTTTTCGGAATATTGCTCAGGATCGCTCCACAATTACTCTCATATAGTTTCTAAAGGATTGGATAACAGACGCCCAATTTGGAAAAATTTATGCACAAAGTGATCACAGATTTTATGTGGTATAGATGCTGGCATAACGGTTTTTGCCTAGGTACGCGTCTATAGTTTTGAAATGGACTGTAGATATTTTCTTCCTTTTAAAATCATTCCGCATTGCATATCACAACGATAATAATTATTGTTCTCGGAGACTCCCTTGATTTAGGCTTCTGCTTCTGGAGAATCCCCTAAAAAATTAGGATAATATTCAGTGAAATGACAATGCTGCTACAGCCACAGCAGCATCATCATAGTCGTTTTGTGCAGTGCCAGGTCACGGTTTGAACAACAATGGTGACGACCAATTTGTTCTCCTGATCTCCCCCCACCACCACACCACTTTTTGATAACCCCCAAAGTTCTGATTGAGTTCTGTTTGGAATTGACCAAGGCGACCCACTTTCCCCGATATGTGACAATTCAGGAATGTCTCCATCTCGCCATCAACAAGCATCCCTGGTTAACGATCATTGACAGATGCATGGCCCCCGCGTGATTTGTTTGTGCGGGCAATATGCGACCTGTTTATATTACCGTAAAGTATTGAATAAAAGCCGCGGCTCCTATGACTTTCTTGGTGAAATTTTGCAGGCTTCTATATGAGACAGGCTTCTATACAAGACAGGTATTTCTATGTATGTCAACACTAAAACCAGGCTTATGTGTGATTTGATGGGCCCAGAATTGCGGCTTCCATTCGAGGGCGGCTTCTATTCAAGTGCAGCTTTTATACAAGAGTTTACGGTATTATTAAAGTTCTGATTTTTGCGCGATGTTTGGTTTCTTCCGCTGCACTCACCTCGAAAGTGAACTGGTTCTGCTCCATGTTGAGACCGGAGACCTTAGCCTGTGTTAGATACCTCTCTACAAAGCTCTTCATGTTGACCAGCTTCTGGTGGCGACCGATAGCGACCAGCTGCCGTGACAGGCCCTCCATTCCTCCTCCTGGTGCAGCGGACAAGGGAAGGCAACAAATGGACAAGGAGATGGTCAATGGACAAGGAGACAACAAGGCAACCAATGAAAAAGAAGACAACCAATGAACAAGGAGACAACCAATGGACAAGAAGACAGCCAATGGACAACGAGACAGTCAAAGGACAAGAAGACAACCAATGGACAATGAGACAACCAATGGACAAGAACACAACAAGACAATGAGTGAACAGAGCCAACAGGATGCTCGCAAAAAGACAAGAAAACGTGCAGAGAAAGACAGCACAATGGACAAGGTTGAGAGAGCATGCACAAAGAATGAGAGCGGAAACGAGGTGGGCGCAAATCAATGGTACCAAGAGTACATTACCCCCAAGAGTGTGCAAGTGCCTGCACATTCTCTACGCAGTGCTGCCACGGTAGAACTTCACGCCACATGACATACCGTAGAGTCTTGTATAAAAGCCGCACTTGAATAGAAGCCGCAATTTTGGGCCCATCAAATCACACATAAGCCTGGTTTTAGTGTTGACATACGTAGAAATACCTGTCTTGTATAGAAGCCTGTCTCATATAGAAGGCTGCAAAATTTCACCAAGAAATTCATAGAAGCCGCGGCTTTTATACAAGACTTTACGGTAGTTGAATAGGTTACGCTGCCAAGCAGTGCAAAGTGACTACAAGAGAATTTAACCCAAAGTAGGGTGGCATACAGCCCTGGGCTTGAATCCATCTTACACAGGGTGAAAACAATGTGTAGGCGTTTGTCACGTGATGTGAAGTCTGCCGCCGCAGACCCGATAGACTGGAGTTGTGCACTCTTGGGGGTTGTGCACTCTTGATGATATCCATTATCCACTTACGGTTTGGTGCGGAGGTCCGCCTGGGCTTGCTCATACTGCCACGATGGTCGCTGCACATCTCCTCGGCCGGATTGGATACACTGGCCGCACGGGTGCTTATCGTCCTGCAGGTAGCAGCGGGTCGAAACACAGCAAGAGCCAAACCACACACAATCGTGTTGGTGTGTTGCGCAATATTGCAAAAGCCAACACATCTACCCAAGCTGAGGAGCACACATGACCAAGTAGGTGTGGCACTTTAAAAGACAAGACAGCTATGAATCTTTCCAGGGATTCTCTACCGAACACGATTAAAGCTGTCTGAATGGCATGGGTGTGTTATCACAGAGGAATCGGCTCGGAGAGATAACTACATAGATGGACACCTTTCGGAATGCGGAATCTCGTAGCACTTCATTAGAGACCATTGGCAAACCGCCGGGCGCGACGATTGGGACAAACCGGCGCGCGGGAAACTCGAATCGTTTCATGAGCACGGTTGGAGCAGCCCCAACGGGTGATCACGAAACGATTACGATTCCGGTTGCATCACGCATCACCCGCATCACGTGCCTGAGTGGTTCAACGCACGCTTTGACGATTAGAAATCGGAGCTGTCCAATCGTTCGACTGCAAGCGTGACAGTTTACTACTGGTCTCTATTATCTTGTATCATTTCATTATTTTATACCACGTTCACACGTTCAGCAGCAATAAGCGGTTCCGCTGGCTCCCCACCGTGACATTATTCACATAACCTCTAATGAGCAAGCACAGCTGCACGCAACTCACGCTTTGGACATGTACTTTCCGATGTCCAGCGTGCGCGGTATATCGTCCCAGAGCCTGGCCAGCTCGATGGGGTTCACGGTCTCCTGGGGGCTGCGGTCCAAGTGCAGGTGCAACATGAGACGACAGAACGTGGCGCGTAGGTTGTACGGCAGGGTACTATCACACATTGCGCTGTACAAACAGAGACAGACAAGAGAACAGTAGCCAACAAGTCAGCAAACACATAAAATTTGATTCTCCACATGAAACTGTGTAATGCGTTATTTTCGGTGCAAATTTAATTCTGGTAAATTCGGTGGAGAAATCAAGCACCTAAATGTGGGGTACGCCTGCACATACAGTTGTGCTCGGTGAAATCCGACCCAAAGTGCGTACTGTAAAGCGTGAAATTTTCGCGGCGTTTTTAGTTCGTGTTTTCAGAATCCGGACAGGTTTGCGAGGTTTTAATTTTGCGATTGCAGAATGGCATTCTTGCTAAGCCTGTGGCATTCTTGCTACACCTTTCATGGATCTCCTTTTCGCGCTGTCTAAATTTCGCGATTTCCACTAGGGCTGAAACGATCGTGGATTTTCAAGTATCGATTGCTCTTTAGCTTAACGATCGAGTACTCGATTATAATCGTTAGCAAATAGAGTCATAATTCTGTGCAAACGTTACTGTTTCCACAAACTATGCCTTCATAATACCAACAAATCTGCATTAGTGAAAGGGTAGCTCCAAAACATGGCAGTTTTGAAGTCAATTTAACCTCAGAACATGAACCATACCCCTGGCAACTGCATACTCCCAGCGGAAACTGATTCAAACTTCACAAAACGAGGGTTTACAGTACTTTCTTGACACAAATTTAAAAAACGCAAAATAATCGTATAAATCGGTAATTTAAACGATTGCTCGATCGTTAGAGTTATCAAACGAGTACTCGATTATTCGATATAATCGTTTCAGCCCTAATTTCCACCCGGTCGCGAATTTCGCAGAAATTAGACCATCGCAATAATTTCACGGTTTACAGTATCTGGCACCCTCTACTTGCATGGCCCTTGGCCTTGCCCTGCAAGTGGTACGAATGCAGCTGGTCGTAGACATGTACCAGTGGAAGTGGTATGAATGCAGCTGGTCGTACACATGTACCAGTGGAAGTGGTATGAATGCAGCTGGTCGTACACATGTACCAGTGGAAGTGGTATGAATGCAGCTGGTCGTACACATGTACCAGTGGAAGTGGTATGAATGCAGCTGGTCGTACACATGTACCAGTGGAAGTGGTATGAATGCAGCTGGTCGTACACATGTACCAGTGGAAGTGGTATGAATGCAGCTGGTCGTACACATGTACCAGTGGAAGTGGTATGAATGCAGCTGGTCGTGCACAACTGCACATGTGCCAGTGGAAGTGGTATGAATGCAGCTGGTCGTGCACATGTTCCAGTGGAAGTGGTATGAATGCAGCTGGTCGTACACATGTACCAGTGGAAGTGGTATGAATGCAGCTGGTCGTACACATGTACCAGTGGAAGTGGTACGAATGCAGCTGGCCGTACACATGTACCAGTGGAAGTGGTACGAATGCAGCTGGCCGTACACATGTACCAGTGCAGTGATGTAATCGGAACTGGTCAGTTTTGTACTTTGGGTCGGATTTCAGCGAGCGCAACTGTATATTATGCCTACTATATAGCACAAGGGTAAGCACAGGGAAGATGCTGTTCAGTGAGAGCTGCAGGTCATGCATGGGACAAACGATTTTTAAACTAACTGCGCAGACTTGAGAACGGCTGGTTGCATGCCATATTGCCTGATGATCACCAAATGTGAAACTCAGACTTGCAACCAACCGTTCTGACTTCTGTGCTAGAGAGCCTTGCTCCGCTCTCATCCCCCGGATAGAGCACTACTAGTATGTGAGCAGTGGAAGTGTGGGTATTGAGCACCGTGTGAGCAGTGGAAGTCCAGGTATTTAGCACTGTGTGAGCAGTGGAAGTGTGGGTATTGAGCACCGTGTGAGCAGTGGAAGTCCAGTTATTTAGCACTGTGTGAGCAGTGGAAGTGTGGGTATTGAGCACTGTGTGAGCAGCAGAAGTCCAGGTACTGTAAACTGCCTAATACTCGCGACGGATTAATGTTCGCTATTTTCGTGAGAAGAGCGTAACGCGAATATTTACCAGCGTGAAATCAAACTTCAACAGTGGGTGTATGTAAGTGGCCCCAATGCTTCGCGAACCTTTGCCATCGCAAACTCGTTGGTTCTAAGAAATCGCGAAAAATTAGTGACGCGAATATTGGGTGGTTTACAGTATTGAGCAATGTTTGAGCAGTAGAAGTCCAGGTATTGAGCAATGTTTGAGCAGTAGAAACTGCCAATTGAGATCAACTTCATATAAGGGGTGAATGATGAGCAGTCAGTCACACAATCTGGAAGTATTAATCCTACACGTACCTAAAGACCAGGTCGATGGGCAAGTCCTCAGCCAGCTTGTTGATAGCAAGATACTGTCGGTCCAGGCACATGCGTGAGAACAGATCCAACTGACATCTGGAAAACAAAATGGGAAAATATGCAAAATCAGCCATGCAAGAAAAAAGACGTGTGAACAGTTATCAAACAAGAAAAAAGCATGTGCGTCGCCCGGGAATCGAACCCGGATCAACTGCTTGGAAGGCAACTATGCTAACCATTACACCAGCAACGCAGCACACTCATAACATACCAAAATCGAACCTACAACTGGGCCGGGTTCCAGTATAGTAGGGCTCCAACATTCCACGACAAACATCCTTAGGGCCGGGTTCCACTGCGGCTCCGCTGCTCGCCTTTCGCGGCTTGAAGCGTCATCATTACCATAGTGACCGCGGCTCGAGCTGGAGCAGCGAGGCCGCGGGTCACCGCGAGCTTTCGCTACATTCTTGAACTAAAACTGCGAGCCGCGGTCGCGGCTCGACCTGTTTCCCGTACTTTGCATTGTTTTGTACGCCAGAATTTTAAAATTCAAATTTTAATTCGTTGCGCTGGCCAGAACACGAGGATTTTTTTATTTTGCGCGCGCAGGCAGGTGAAACGTCATCAAAATGTGTGGAGCACGACCGCGGTACCGCGAATGGCGAGTGTCAGTGGAACCGCGCTGCTCCGCTGCATGCAGCCAAGTGCCGCGGAGCAGCGGAGCCGCAGTGGAACCTGGCCCTTACGGATACGGAACAGCGCATTCAAACAATACTCCAATTTCAGAAATTTTCGGCACTCAATATTTTCGGTATGAGGGCAAAAGGCCAGGTTAGGTGAACAGAAATTTTCGGTACAGAGAAGCAGTTCCCTATAGGATTATGTGTGTTAGTGTTTGTTCGGTGTATTGAAATTTTAGGTATGAAGCAGATGCACCGAAAGTACCGAAAATAAAGGTACACCGAAAATTTGTGAAATTACTCTAGTTTCACGGCGCTACAATTTAAGTCGAACCAAAGTGTGTAAAGCGCACATTATTTTCTTGTGATCTTTCAAACACAGTTCCCGGTTTAGTTTATTTTGAACACATTCAATGCAAGCTGAGATTTGAAAGAAGGAGAGAAAAAAGGAGGAAGAAGAGAAACCCAAACACTCTACTGGTACTTGTATTCTTTTCGCAGACTGAGCGACTGAGAGAGAGAAAAAAAAAGCATGTGCGTCGCCCGGGAATCGAACCCGGATCAACTGCTTGGAAGGCAACTATGCTAACCATTACACCAGCAACGCCCGATGATATCCTCTTCCCTCTTCAGAGAACCTACAACCTACATGTACAAGGTCTCGGGCCAGGAGATCGCAGCAGATTGCTGTTGTTGAAAATTACTTGAATGAAATTCGGGCATGTCGGGTTGCGCTTTCATCGATTATCGGGGTCGGGTCATTTTCTGCATTTAAAACGGGTGCCGTGTCAAAGTACTACTGTGGAGAGTTGAAACGCTGTGTCTCTTTGTCTCTTTGTATGCTTTATAGTAGGACCAAGAGTAGATAAACAAGAGTGTGCAACTCCAGCTATGGGGTCTGCGACGGCAGAACTTCACATCACGTGATGAACCCTTGCACTCTAGTGCATGATAGATACTGGGTTGTACGCAGCCCAGCTTTGGGTACAACTCTCTTGTGGTCACTTTGCACTGTTTGCCAGCATAACCTTTTGAACCATGTCACGTGATGTGAAGTTCTGCCGTCGCAGCACAGCATAGAGGTTGTGCAGGCAGTTGCACACTCTTGGGTTATGTACTCTTGGTAGGACCAAGAGTACATAAGCTCCCAGGAGTGTGCAACTCTGCATACGGGTCTCCGACGGCGAAATCTCACATCGTGTGTTCAAAGCACGATTCGTACTACGCACAGCGGAGGCCAGCGTGCGCGTGTCTGCCATGATCATGCTCACTGCTGATGACTGGCATACGCTGAGTGGTTTTCTGTCAGGGAGTGCTGTTTGTCAACTCCATTCGTTGCTAAAACGGGTTGGGAGCGCACAATAGCAACACTACACTACAGGATGTGAGTGTTCTCTGTCGAGGAAGGGTATCCAAAGTTGCACACTCTTGGGAGCCTACTAACTCTTGTAAGGATTGAAACGTACCCGGTGAGTTTAAAGCAATGGTAATCCTCTTCAAGAACTTTCAAACATGGTCAAAATCAGTAAGACAGGACAAGTCACGGCCGAAATTCAAATACCACACGTGCGTGTATACAGCCGAATTTGATGACATGAATACGGAGCGTCATCCGTTGAATTGACGGCGTTGAAAACGGACAGGGTCTGACGAAAAGATAGTCCGTTGTCACCGGGGCTTAACCCAGGGACACTCCATACAGGCCAGAGGTGCTCTAAAGTGTGTTTCAAAAGTATAGACCTCTGGTTTCAAGACCGTCAGGACAACACCTATAGCATTCTATGCCACATAAAACCTGTGATCACTTTGTGCATTAAATTTCTGAAAATCAGTGTTTGTTATCCAATCGCTTAGAAATCTACATATTACGAGAAAGATTGGGGGGAATTGCCAGAGCAACATCCCGAAGAAATTTCTCAAAACGTTCAAACCAAATTTTATTCGAAAAAGTCTAAAAGTCTCTACTTTCGGAACACACTATAACTTTGAGCTACGGTAGTAAGTTGTGAATGCAAGAAAGTTGTAGACTCAATATGAAGTGCACATACCTGTAATACTCTAGCAAGGCTATATCGGCGGGTTCGTCGTCAGCTAGATCTGCCAGCTCGTGCAAGGTGTAGGTCTTAGCCTGTGAGGCAGTGATCAGTACAGCGTCGTCCTCGCCTCGGCTGTTACAACGCAGTGGGATGAACACACATACACGCACAGATGGACGGACGGACAGATGGACAGACGGACGCACACAAACACACACACACACACACACACACAAACACACGACACATGCACACAGAGTATTAGCCACAAAAAGTTCAATTCCAAAACTCAAAGACCATCAATTCCGTGAGATCTACTCGTCAAGTTCAAGCTCTCAAAGTTCACACTGCAAGACCGGCGGAAACCGTTTTGATTGGCCACGGCCATACCCTAGCCTTTCATACTTTCTGTATGATATAGTGGGTATACTCATGATCTCCTCAGTAGTGAACACACATTGGTGGCCAGAAAGTTGGTCCGGCCATGGCCCGACCAACCGGATCGGTTCTGCCGGCCCACATTGATAAAAAGTCAATGGGAACAATAGTGAGAGAGAGAGAGAGAGAGAGAGAGAGAGAGAGAGAGTGAGTGAGTGAGAGAGAGAGTGAGAGAGAGAGAGAAAAATGGTGGGGGGGGGGGGGAGAGAGAGGACGTACGCTGTAGTTAGTAAGATGTCCTCGTTGGCTTTGTCCAGGAGTATGGTCTTGCAGATGAGTTCCTGTACGTGAGGTATGGCTTGGTTGTTGCACACACACAGGTCGGACAGATGGCGAAGGAACCGAGCAGCACCACTGCCCACGGATCTGGTGAGAAAAGAGAACATACACACACGCACACATGCACATGAACACACACGTGAATACACACTCGCGCATGCACGCACGCACACACACACACACACGCACACACGCACACATACATGCACATAATTATGAGTAACTCGGCAAAGGACCCACAAAAGAGAGGATAGTTTTAGTGAAAAGTAGAACTTCCAAGCCCCATCCGAGAAGCAAAACCAAGAATGGGCAATCAATCAAGTTGCCGTAGGAAAAAAAGAAGAAAAAAAACGTGCGTCGCCCGGGAATCGAACCCGGATCAACTGCTTGGAAGGCAACTATGCTAACCATTACACCAGCAACGCAACACATTATCTGTGGCTGATAAACAAAATATCAAGGCGACTGTATGATTTATAACTAGACATAAGGTACGAAGTAGGAAGTAAAGTAGGGAGGTTTCGCTCCACGTAACTAAATCCGTATATCGTACGCGCTGGGGAGCGAGGGCAACTTTCATACGTAAATCTCTGTACGGATTTCCGTAGGAAAACACTTTCCTACGTTGGCTCCTCCGTAGGACTTTTTCCGTATTTATCCATGGCAACGTTCAAGCCGCACGAAACACAAGGTACGCACACTGTACACCACGTGCGAAATAAAATGGAAACGTGGTTTCGGTTCGTGGTGCATGCGGTGGGATGCAGCCAACGCGTCTCCGAAGCAACAAGGCATGTTTAGCAGTCGTGGAGAAATCACGTAGAGCGAAACCCAACAGCTCTGATTTTTTTGATTTTTTACGTATGAAAAATTGAAAATTACATGCAGTTCCTACGTTATTTTCATATGTAATTCCGTAGAGCGAAAACTCCCTATTGACTGCATCACTACCGTTATGCTTTGTGGCCTACCGACCACACAAACATTTCCCACAACAGGAAGGGGTTCCTTCCGAGTACTGATAATAATATATCAGCACTCGGAAGGAACCCCTTCCTAGGGGATTATATTATAATTCCTTGTCACAGCTGTTTCAGTCATTGGGATCTCAGAGAAGCCAATATCAGGAAATAGTGTAAAGTATTTGCTACTCTCTCTCTCTCTCTCTCTAGTATGTATTGATCTCGAAGAACAAACAAGCTGCCGAAAAGCCCAGTGAACACAGGTGTTCACTGAGAGAGTGCATTACGTGGTGGAAGGAGCAAAGGCAAGGAGTGTACAGAAGAGCAAAATCACTAGAAGAAGTAGGGGCAGCGAAAACCCAGGAACGTTTGCAGGAGTTCTAGGTCACAACTCAATTTTCAATTTCAAATTTTTGGGCTTCACGGAGAATTTCTAAGTACAGTGGTCCCTCTATAATCCGGCACCATTTGTGCCACGGAAATCTGCTGGATTAGGGAGGGTGCTGGATTAACAAATCTGATCCACTGCTGCAATGTGCATGAAGAGGACATTTGGCTACTGAAAATTGTGCTGGTTTATCGAGGGTGCTGGATTATAAAGTGCCGGATTAGAGAGGGACGACTGTATTAGGAAATTTGAGGCCACATGCCACGTACTGCTCTTTTCTCTCCGAAACTCAACACTTGAGTTTCGGAGAGAAAAGAGCAGTACGTGGCATGTGGCCTCAAATTTCATAATACAACTCAATTTTGGCAGCTCATTCATCTATTCGCATCATATGGCAGGATTGCATTATGACAAAAACTGAAATTTCACACCCTAGAATGCAACTGTTCTGAGTAACAGCAAGAGTACATGAGACCCAGAGTGTGCAGCTTGGATGGGTGGCTGTCACGGAGGAATTCCGTGATTACATCATTTTAGTGATGCAGTGCGTACAAGCCGGTTTCAAGCAGGTCTCTTTCTGCACAACTGCAGCTCAGTTGTACGCACTACGCCATTTCCCGCCTCAGATCTGCACCAAATATGATGTAATCACTGAATTCCGCTGTGACAGACACCCATAGCAGAAAAAGCCCAAGCCGCACACTCTGGTCTTCATGTGCTCTTGGTAACAGTTGAAAGGATCCCTTGGTGCAAATGTACGAGTTTTCCGCATCCGTAGGAACGCTACCAGTCTCCATGGATCTTGTATTTTTTTTAAACGGGTTTATTCCTGTACAGAACCAAGATCAGGGCTAGGCTTCTATTCAAAACACTTCCAGGTATTCCTATGTATGTCAACACTAGTCGTCGAAAGTGATGGCTGCGGCGAACATTCCACCAACACCGGTACACAAGAGGGGGGGGGGGTTCACGGCACTTACTCTTTGCGATGGTGGCGAATGAGCTGCACGAACACTTCAATGTCTTTCGGCTTGATGTGCTCCTCCAGGAGCTGGCGATTGTTGTTCAACATGGCTGTGACAGTGTCCTCGGCGCAGATGTCATAGCCAATCTGGTTCTGCATGAAACTAAACCTCTTGTTAGCAATGTGCTCCTGCAGGTGAAGGGAAATGAAAAGACACACAAGAGTGCACAGTCACGCTACAGTAAAACCTGTCAAGGTGACCACTCGGATAAGGCGACCACCTGTTCTAGAAGACCACTACAACCAGCACCAAGGAATGCTATTTCCAGTCAAACGACCCTGGATGAGGAGACCACCTGGTAACAGAGACCCCGTATTGAAGGCCCTTTGAGCAGTCGTCTTTAGAGAGGTTCCACTGTATTTGAACAATCGACTTCAAAAAGATAGCCCAGCCCGATTCAACTCAAGGGCTCTTCGACTTGCGATGAAAAGGACGAGATGCAATTAGCGGTAACAAAATTCTCTAGCACAAGTGATAACGGGGGAGAAGAGGGAGAGGATGATTACAAATAGCGACAGCGCATGCAAACGCACAACCGCACACACGTGGGCGTGCGCACACACACACAGACACACACACACGTGCGCACGCACGCACGCACACATGCTCCGCCACTGAACACATCTCACCTGATTCTTGCGGTAGTTCTGCTGTGCAAACTCAATGACGCGGTAGCAGAGTCGACACATTCTCTTCAGCAGCTCATGTTTCTTCTCACCAAGCTGATCAAGCCGTGCCAGTGGAGCGATGTCATTACCTGGACTCTTAAACGGCGACTCCAGAATCAGAAAGATCTAAACACAGAGAATAGAAATCACGTAGAAAAAATAAGAAGGAAACAAAGGAGTTTCGCTGTGACTCTCAGTCACTCACGCTATAATACCCACGCTTGCTGCAGTCTCGAATGGGATTGTCGGTGTTTGACCACTTTGTGGTTGGTCTGATCTAGGCAACTCCCACCTCTGTAAGGAGCTGCATCTGCACCTTGATCCTAGAGGATGGTGGAGTTCCATGGATGCCGAAAACTCGGCCTCCAGCCGAGTCTGAAACGAACCCGTGTGTTCTATTTGCTGCAGCCTATATAAACCAAATCCTCGGAACAGTGTAGTCAGTGTTGTCTGATGATAGGCTAAAACCGTGAAACTCAGAGTTACAGTAGAAACGCTTTGTTTCCTTCTTCCTGTATGTGTATAAGGCTCTGCACCTAGGTATATCGACCACTCTCTCTCTCTGTCTCTGTCTCTCTCTGTCTCTCTCTCTCTCTCTCTCTCTCTCTCTCTCTCTCTCTCTCTCTCTCTCTCTCTCTCTCCCTCCCTCTTTCTCTCTCTCCCTCCCTCTTTCTCGAGCTGTCGCAACTCTCCCACTCTCTTACCTTATCTATGATGTTCTGTTCGCGCAGCAGTTTCTGTCGATCACGATTGGGAGTGCCGGTGACTGCAAATGGATCTTGCCCGCTGTTCTCGATCTTCATGACGAAGAAGATCAGCTCTGTCAGCAGGTTAATGGCACGTCTACATAGCATACACACACACACACACGTACATACACACATACATAAACACGTACACACCATACACATGTACATGTACATGTACATATGTATACGTGCACATACACCCCCCCCCCCCACACACACGCACGCACGCGCACACACACACGTGCGCACACACGCACACACACACACACACACACACACACACACACACACACACACACACACACGCACACACACACACACACGCACACACGGTTCACTAAGCTCCTGTTGTTAGCCAACGCGGAATCAAGTACTAATTAGTGCATCACGTACAAGTAACGGGGGGCGGGGGGTGTAAATAACACCTCTCCTGCATGAAGTACATCCCTTACTTCTTCTCTCCGACTGTGATCGTGAGATCGCCCAGCTTGCGCGCCAAGTTGTTCAGCTCCGAGCTGGCGTCGTTGGCAAAGTCGAGATCGCGGATCTCAGACGTCGAGACGTGTACCAGAGCGAAGGCTTCGCGATCATCACGCAGTGCGGCGGCACCAAGCTGGAATGGACAATACGAAGGCAGGGCAGAAGGCAGGGCAGAAAACTTGAAGAAAAATATAATGTGAAGTCGTGAACACTACACACTATGATGTAAGCCTTTTTTCACCGCCGATGGGCTCCACAGCAAACTCATTAACGACACAGTATTAAATGCTCATAAAGTTCAATGGTCGTGTACAAACCTTGTACGCAACCATATCATGCAACACCACAGTGGAACATTTACTATGGTACCTGCATATGAAGGGCTTCATTGCAAAACGAGATAAATCCATTTTGACCAATTTTCAGGAGGGGCGATTTTCTGTGATCAACAACTGGGTGGGTTTGGGTCAAATCTAACTTAGCAGATGAGAAGAGTAGGGTGATGTATGCAAATACAGGCTTTCTCAAAAATCAGGAGCCATCCATTTTCTCAAGCAAGGTGATTCTTCATTATTTTCGGGCAAAACCAGACCAGTTCGCCGGACTAATCAGTATTATGAGATTAGAAAATACAAGTGCAACGACTTCACTGAGTTCAGAACTCTGAAGGAGCTCAGCAGCAACAGCACTGCCAGCAACAGCGTCGTCCCTCCCTGACGCCTCTAGCATACTGCCCTTTTCAGTTTCGAAAGCGAAAAACAACAGCTACGAAGAAGATGATACAAAAAGAACGAAATGACAACGTAGATGTAGCTGCTACAAAGCAACAACACGAAAACACTGTACTTTGAACTCTGACAACGACATTTTGCACAGACTCAGTTTGTAGTCGCGATGTTTGCCAAGTGCTGCGCCAGCACTCGCTGGCTTGTCACAGGTCACGCTGGCCCGCGCGACAGGATATGTCGCACTTTGCTCGAAAACATCGGTGGTGTTTATCGCGTTTTGCAGTAGAACGTCAACTTCAACGTTGATTTTCAGTGGGATATGTCTCGTTTTGGAGAATTCTTTTTGGCCACCAGATGCAGTGATCCCTACTGATTCGATTGACACCGAAAACGCCATATGCATGAGATTGGCGTTTAGCGCGTTTTGCAATGAAGCCATTCATATACACACTAAGCACCCGCTTTACTTGTACCCACCACTAGAGAGGTTGTGCAAAACAAAGTTTTGTAGCGCTCGACGAATCAGGGAACGACGAAAAAGGCACGGAAATAGGTTCATTCAGAGCTAGCGCGACAGTGGGAACTTCAAGTTTTCCCAAACAGGTCTGGATAGTCACTCCTGCACGCGGATAATGTACCACAGCATGCAGCTGTCATACACTACTGCATCGCAGTATGGAGATGACTGCGAGAAAGCATTTCGTTGCTGAGCTACTTTTCCGTGGAAAGTTGAAGAAATTTCATTAAAAAAATCCGTTACAGTCAGTGACAAACAAGGCCGGTTTAAGCAGCTCGAGGTAGAGTGCTCAATGCACAAATGTGCAGAACAGTATATACACACAGCAGAGGCGAAGGCTGCGTAGCTGTAACTTTTAAAAGTTTCACGCATTTCAGCCATCATCAGACAGCAGCATTTACTATAGAATCGTCTATGAGCAGGCCTACAGTCAGTGATCACAAGAAAACGTTCTCAGAGCCAACAAATTGTTCCTTGATGATGTGTATAGATATAATTATGATTACATAGAACGACTGTGCAGTTTATTTTACTCATTGGAATTTTACAGACAAATTTTGATCAATATTAAATTTTGTTGTGCAAGATTTGTTCCCACGCTCACCTTCTGCATGACGGGCTTCTCCTTCTCCTTGTCGATGGGAATCGTACAGCTGTGGATCCAGGTGTTGGTGCACAGATGACGGAGACGAACGTACGAACCTCTGTACACATACAACACATACAACAGCAGAAGAAACCATAAACGAACACATTACACTCATACGTCGGATATCCGGACCCCGAAGTTATGGGAACCTCGGTCTACCGGGCACGCTTTGGACGAGTTTCAGAGGAAATGTTACTACCCTTTTTGCCACTTTGACTTTGTGTGGAAATAGTGACGTCATATGCCATATCTATGGTCTTCCCATGAAAATGTATGTGATTCGGAGTTACGAATATTTCAAAGTTACAGGCAGTACCGGGTCCCGGACCGCACGGATAAACGAGGTATGAGTGTAATACGTTGCCAAGTGACACTTGATTTAATATTGCACTTTCCGGAGTACGAACCGCACTTTAAACACTCATTATTCACCCAAACAAAGTCGGCACGCTTTAAATAGACCACATAGGTCAAATGAGCAGTGATATACATGGCAGATGTCTGTATTTAAAGCCGACCATTGCTACCCTCGGTAGCCATTACTCACACCAATAACTTCAAACAACGAAGGGGTCACGGGTAAAACACCTTGCGTGGGTGGACGAATACAATTTCTCACCTGCTATTTTCCTAAAACCAAGGGCTTTGAGAATATTCTTGGAACTTCTCAGTGTTACACCTTGCCTAGTTTCTTTCTTGCGCCCGTAATAATTACACCGTATAAAATCAGTATGCCATGTCAATTACAATATCAGTATCACCTTCTCTGACGAGCCTTTGATAGGCGAAACAGCTGTCAGAAGGAAATGTTTTACCCGTGACCCCTTCGTTGTTTGAAGTTACAGATGTCTGTATTTCATGACAAAAAAATCTGGGTGCGGCTTATACTCTAGACAATACGGTACGTAATAGAGGCAGCGCTACACGCCGCATTGACCCACAACCACAGTTGCATACCCTCGACCGGAACCCACGGACCCCCGGTGGCAACCAATAGGAGTAGCCCGAAAAACCTGCCGCACAAAGCGGCTGAACAACGTGCTCTTTTGAGCCTTGGAGAAAAGAAAGAAAAATGAAACGAAAAAGCAGAAAAAGGTCGCACAGCGTGCAACGGAATCAAAAACCAAAGAGATACTAGTATATTGTGCAAAGGTGAAAACTAAAAAATTATTTCAAAAAGCATGTGCGTCGCCCGGGAATCGAACCCGGATCAACTGCTTGGAAGGCAACTATGCTAACCATTACACCAGCAACGCAGCACATGAGAAATGCTCTGCTAGTGCACCAAAAGAGAAAGGTCAGAACGGGTGTGAAGCCACGGATCAAAGGGGGGTTGGTGCGTTCGATTGTGATCTACCCGGTGCATGTACGTGTTCGGGTGGACACTACTTTTGTCTGTAGATGAGTTCCTTTTTCTACACCCAATACACCTAGGCTGTTATTCACTCCCATGCAAAGTAAAATAGACTTCGGACAGGTATGTACCTGGTATGCACAAAGGCGGGCTGATATTCACTCCCATGCAAAGTAAAATAGACTTCGGACAGGTATGTACCTGAGGTATGCACAAAGGCGGGCTGATATTCACTCCCATGCAAAGTAAAATAGACTTCGGACAGGTATGTACCTGGTATGCACAAAGGCGGGCTGATATTCACTCCCATGCAAAGTAAAATAGACTTCGGACAGGTATGTACCTGAGGTATGCACAAAGGCGGGCTGATATTCACTCCCATGCAAAGTAAAATAGACTTCGGACAGGTATGTACCTGAGGTATGCACAAAGGCGGGCTGATATTCACTCCCATGCAAAGTAAAATAGACTTCGGACAGGTATGTACCTGAGGTATGCACAAAGGCGGGCTGATATTCACTCCCATGCAAAGTAAAATAGACTTCGGACAGGTATGTACCTGAGGTATGCACAAAGGCGGGCTGATATTCACTCCCATGCAAAGTAAAATAGACTTCGAACAGGTATGTACCTGAGGTATGCACAAAGGCGTTTTCTATTAGGGGTTGTCGCAAAAGTTTTTTTGTTGTCCCTGAAACGAACAGCATTCGTTTGTGGGGGGGGGGGGGGGAGGGTGCGAGCCAAAATCGCAAGTCGACCAACACTGTACATATGTACATGTACATGCATGCGATTTTCTTCGTCCAGGATCGCAAGCTGCGTTCATTTCAGAGGGAGGGGATCTGAGTACGAAACGAACGATGTTCGTTCCAGGAACGACTAAAAACTTTTGCGACGATCCCGAAGAACTACTTCAAATAGATACAAGAAATGTGAGGGGAAACCACTCACCTGAGTACAAATCCGTCGACATGCGACACAGTGGTGCCGACAAGTTCAAACAGCACATTGACATTGTTGTCCGTGTCTGCGACGGGGACGAGCTGGTATACTGTGGCTGAGGAGCCACGTAGCTTCTCTCGCATCTCATCTTCAGTAGGATCTTTGTCAACCTGCAGCAGCGGGGGGGGGGGGGGGAATAGAGGTGGGTTGGCAGGGAGAAGGGAGGGTGAACAACTGAAAACACGTGCCAATGCACATGATACATATGGAGAACTGCACATGCGAGCACACACATACACATACACACACACCCACATCCACACAGACATGCAGATACACAGACACACACACACACACACATGCACACACACAGACACACAGACACACAGACACATGCACACACACAGACACACAGACACACAGACACATGCACTTACACATACATACGACTCGTACACACAGAACACAGACACATACACAGGACACACACGTGCACGTGCACGCACACACGTACACACACGCACACTTGCCACAAACAAAGCACAAACTTGAAGGGATCTTTCCATCCAAAAACCAATGCAAAATACAAAAGTCTACATCAGTCTAGTGCGCAATGATGCCACACATACCTCAGCAGCTAAATAGAGGCCGGTGGCGAGATGCTTGAAACGGAAATAGCTGCACCAGTGTGCAGCACCGCTGCGACAAGGGTCCACTTGTACAACCTGTGCACATGCACACACGCACATGCACAAACACGCACACGTGCACACACATGCACACACACACATGCACACACACATACACATACACACACACACACACACACACACACACACACAACAGCATGCAGCATGTATCTTACACTACCCATGGATTTGACACCACTGTTACACTGAGGATAGACCTGATTCAAACCCCTTGTTGAATAAAAATCCCCGTCCCCATCCCCTGCAATAACAATGTAAACGAGAAACGTACCTCTCAAGTACAGTACACAGATGTGGCAAATGGGATTTCGGCTTTTGACCTCTGGTTGGTGGATCTGATCTACCCTCCCCCAACATCTAGAAGCCGCATCTGATGCCTGATCATGGGTTGATGATATCCCACGTAAGCGGGAATGTGGTTCTTGACCCGCTCTGTACACAAACCCGTGCAATTTTTTTCGAGTGCAGTTGGTAGCAGATACATTTAGAAAAGCGATCCTGTCAGCTTTTCTATTATTGGTAAGTATCAGGGAGTAGTAAAATACAGGGAGGTGACACGCCACTAATCGTGATTTTTGATGGGTGCCTCGCGCTTGTTTTTTTTTCTTTCGCAAAAAAAGATGATCTGCTGGATCAATCTTGAGTATTTGTTGAAGAACTAATTCCGTGAAAAGGTCTATCCATCTCATGGAACAGCATTTGTTTTGCTCTTGTGATACATCTCTGTCATCGTCATATGGAAAGGTACCACCCTTCCGAAATTCGTCCCGATCGACGGCTTGGAGCAATAGAACGAAGGTGATTTCCTTGAGAACAATACGTGTGCGATTGGAGATGAAAAGCGAGTCCACCGATTTCGAAGTCGAAAAAATCTCTAGGACACCACCCGATCGACACTAATTTCTCCTCAGTTGTGATCAACGAGTACTTTTCTACCTTCTTTGTGATGATGAGCATTTCATATTATGGTATGCTAGAGATTCGGGAGTTCACTTTTCGGAATGAAATGTTCCTAAGTTTGTCAAGGATTGAAATGCGGGCTACGTCGTCGTAAACAGCTTGTATCGACACAGGAAAAATATACGGCACGCAGGGATGTCTCCCAATGTGATACCACTCTTGCTGGACTTCTATCCTGACATAGTGGTAGTTTGGTCGACTACCAAACTTTGTGAAGGCAGACAATTGTTGGAAAATTCTCAGCGCTGAGTTTCTACGGGCTGCAGTAGGAGTTTCTTTGGCGGTAGGTATTTTACTACTCCCTGATCGAGAGAATCCTGATCCGCGCGCGTGTCTACACACTTCGGTACCCATAGTACCCCAATCTCACCCGCCGGGTGAAAACGGTGCTGAGGCAATCGTCAAACTGGCCGTACATGCTCGTGTCACCTCCCTGTATTTTACTACTCCCTGGTAAGTATTGAGTCGATACAGGACAGGGGTGAGTGTGATAGCAGACACAACCATTCCCAGGTCTGTTCTGTCCTCTCCAGCTGAGAACAGGGGTGTGACGTATAATCGACAGCGATGTCGAATCAGGGAAACACGGCACACCCTGAACCATCATCTATACCGTTCAGGTCCGACAACTGTAGTGCATTTCAAAAGTATAGACCTCTAGACTTTTCACATAATTCAAATTTAGCTTGAGCTTGCTGAGAAATTTCTTCGGGATATTGCTCAGGCACTCCCCCCCCCCCCCCCCCCCCCCCCTCTCCCCAATTTTTCTCATCTAGATTTCTAGGCAATTCGATAACAAACGTCCAATTTCGGAAATTTTGTGTACAGCATGATCACAGATTTGATGTGGTATTGATGCTGGCCTTATGGGGTATTCACACGACAGGCACTTGCACGTTTTACAGGGAGTGACATACGAGAAAAGTGACTGTGTGGATTCACACAGTTGCACTCGACGACAGGCACGTTTGCATTTTGAATGCTTCATCGACCAGTAGCCATGAGTATTTCAAATTTTCAAAGCACGCATACAATAATTATCATGCTCTAAAGAGCCGCGTAAAAATCAAGTCTTGTTTCGCGCTTTTTGGTGTAAACGTACTCGTGCACGCCACGATTATCGTGAAAGTGGGCCCCCGGCTCGCTTGCACTTTTCAGCCACTTTTCTCGTTCACAGGTAAAATACCATAGCAACTTTCCGGTGCACGTGGATTTGCCTGTCGTGTGAATACCCCATAACTTTTTTTTAAACCAGACAGAGGTGTATACTTTTGAACCCGCTGTAGCAGCACACGTATCGGGTCATAGTCTTGGACAACCAATTTAAGCAGTCAGGCTGTGCTATGATTCGCCACTCACCTCAACCTCCCACAATGCTTTGGAGCTGGTGGCGTCCGTTTTCTTGGCTCTGCCCGACGTTCGCAGGAAGACATATTTCTTCTTCTGAAACGTGTCCAGGGTCAAGAATTTCTCTTGCTCCGCGTGGAAGAGGCGCACTACATCACCCTGCAGAAGGAGAAAGACATCGGAGATCATAGACTATCACCTGCCCCACTCCCGTGTGAAGATGAAATGCTTGCGGAAGTCGGTCACGCAAACTGGGAATATTCATACAACATGTACGGACAAGTGCCGCGCTCTTTTGCCTATACCGATACGCGTGCACACACGTATACACACACATGCGCACACGCACACGCACGCACACACACACACACACACACACACACACATAAACACATGCACACACACACACACACACACACACACACACACACACACGCGCACGCACGCACACACACAAGCAGTGTATCTGCAGCTCACCCCCTTGAGGATGTCGTCCCGGTTTTCATTGTAGGAGAGAAACAGCACCACCTTCCAGCGAGTATCCGCACACATAGCATTCAGCTGGGAAGCACATACACATACACCACAAAAATCGAAATCAAGTCACATTTCTCAACATGCGAAGACTCTACTGTAGCCATCCATTATATCCATACATCTTCACGACACTCTCCAAACGGTCTCTGGCCTACACCAATCACTAAAAGAAAAAAAAGAGGTAATATCATTCCAACTTTCAGGCAAGGCCCATCTTCAGGAATGAAGATTTCTGAAGATTCCTGAAGATGGGTCTTGCCTGAAAGTTGGAATGATATTACCTCTTCTTTTTTTTAGTGATTGGTGTGGCCCAGAGACCGTTTGGAGAGTGTTGTGAGGATGTATGGATATAGTGGATGTGATCAACAGGTGCGTCGGAAGATATTTTAGTGTGGAACGGTCAGCCATATGAAGTGCAATTTACTCGTGGGGGGGGGGGGGGGGGATGGCTGAGCCGAATATTTTGGCAATTTAGAGCCCAAATCAGAGCATTTTATTGATTCACGGGGTACTTGGGGCAAATAGTGGCACGGTCAATACCGTAGTGACCGTACCGCGTGCGACACTCCTGCTCAAATAGCACTAACACCAATACCAGCAGAAATGGGCAGGACTCCTGGATACTTGAAAGGAGTAGTGTGGGGGAGGAGGCAAATCGTTCGAAGACAAGATTGTATTAGTGATGGTGGCGGTGGTGGTGTTGGGAGGGGTGAGGGGGAAATTTCCTTTCAAATCAAGATCGTGTTGGCATTAGTGTGTGTGCGGGGGGGGGGGGGGGGGCATTTTCTTTTCAAAGACAAGATGGTGTTGGCGGTCGTGGTATTGGTGAGTGTATGTTCCATGGCTCTGATTCCAGGTGGCACGTCACACTCTTCTAATCAACGGTGTTCAATGAGAGAGCAGGCTGGGGGAAGAGGGAGTTGACAAGGGAGGCGTCCTACCTCTTGGCATTCCGGATGGTCGGTGAGGGTGAGCTTGCTGACGTTGAGTGGCTGACCGGCATTGACGGACATCAGTGAAATCACATCATTCACAACAACCTACAACGAGACAACAATACAGACACAATAGCGAGGATTCCCAGATCGACGAGAGTACTCAGCACCACAAGGATGGAGCATTACCACAAAGGCAGAAGAGAACAGAGACAATCGGCTAGGCCATTGTTGTAACGCTGCGTTTCATGCACATAGCAAAGCTAAGGCAACTGAGGACTAGAGGACAAGACAAAGCTAAGGCAATCCTCACACAACTGACGACAGCAATACAACAATACAGGCAACAATAATACAGACATGTAGCTCAAAGAGGAAAGAAAACACGAAGAAAACAACGTTCTCATCAAATGAGAACAAACGTGCGGCTTATACTCCGAAAAATACGGTACTTTTTAGAATAACATTCCTACTTTCTCATGGCACTGCCACCGACGTCGTCTTGTCTGTGCTGAACAGAATTATGACTAGTGCAGCACAGATGCAATGCAAGCTATACCTAAGCCTACCAGATCAGTACACAACTTACGCTGTCACCGGGCGATCGCAGTTTGTAGTAGGGTTGTACGTACAGCCAAGACCCCTGTACAGAACAAATCACAGGACAGCGTAGGAGACAAACAGAGGCTCAGATGCACGAAAAAGAAAAATCCACCGATGTCAACCTCCCCATTCTACTCTTCATACTCGGTGTAGAAGTTGACAACAGCAGCATACAAGACAAACGAGTTCAGATGGAAGACAAGCAAACTCCACCGATGTCAAACTGTCTATTCTAGCTTCAATACTCCATGTAGCAGATAACAGTGAAATAGGGAGCCGCCAATTGCCCAGTGCTCAAACTGATGTGCTAGTAAAGCGATGGAGTACCATATACGTATACATGTACATCTGTGTGCCTATAGTCAATGCTGGCAGCCAAGGGGAGATACACATCTATATTGAAATAGTATGACAGCTAAAGTGCGTTTCAAAAGTCCAGACCTCTGGTTTCAAAAAACCGTTAGGCCAGCATCTGACATCGGTACCACATAAAATCTATGATCACTTTGTGCATAGAATTTCCGAAATTGGGCGTTTGTTATCCAATTGCTTAGAAATTCATATGAGAAAAATTGTGGAAGCTGCCTGAGCAATAAGGACGTTTAGCAACGCGAAAGTTCGAAAGAAAATTCGAGTCTGGGAATGAGTACAGAAACAAAGCTCGAAACTTCGAAAACTTGGACGCGAAGTTCCAGTGATTTGCGAAAGTAACTTTCTCTTTTCTCGGTACGCATTTGACTACAGGGAGTAGTAATTTTACAGCCCCCTGCTTGAGACTGAGCTGCATATACGGTACGGCACTATAAGATTCAAATTACTTCGAGAAAAAGTCATTTCGCATTGCTAAACCTCACAAGTTTTCTTTTTCGAAATAGATTTTCGCGAAACACCACCACCAAAAGTGCGAATTTTCGCATTGCTAAACGTCCTTAGTACTCCGAAGAAATTTCTCAAAAAGCTCAAACAAAATTTGAATTATTCGAAAAAGTCTAGAGGTCTATACTTTTTTGAAACGCACTATAGCAGGTCATTCTGATGAATTTATAGTAAAGAAAGGATACTGCATCTTTTAGTCTAACGTGAAGGAAGATCACCAAACATGATTTAATTTGTTGGATTGGATTGTGGAGCAAAACGTGTTTGTCCTAGAAACTTACCTCGTTTCCCCATTGATCTAGCTGGACTCGCATCGCTTTCTTCTCCATGGCCGCTGGCATCTTCTTGTTGATGGTGAGGAACTTGTTACTCTTCATGTGCAACAGCTATGGTTAGAAAAAAGATAGAAGAGTTAGAAAGGACAGTTGGAAAGGGAAGGCAAACACACAGACAGATATATACACACACACACACACGCACGCGCGCAAACACACACGTGCACACACACGTGCACACACACACACACACGTGTGCGCGCACACACACACACGTGTACACACGTGTACACACACACACACACACACACACACAAACACACATGCAGAGTAGCAACAGACCTGTACTGCGCTGCCGTAGAGAACCTGCTGTCCGAGACTGTCGGCCATCTCAGCTTCATTCTGCTGCTTCTCCAGCTCCACGGCATACTGTGCACACAAACACACACACACACACACACACACACACACACACACACAGATACACACACACACGCACGCACACACACAAATACACACATGTGAACATGAGCACCAGCAAGCATTTCAACAAACACAGTAACACAAGGACAAAGAAGACAGAACGGCAGACAGACAGACAGACAGACAGACAGACGGACAGACAGACAAGCAGACAGAGCAAGAGACAAGCAGACAGAGCAAGAGACAAGCAGACACACACACACACAAACAAACAGACAGACACATAACACACAAACACACACTGACAATAGATAGACACACAAACACACGCTGACAATAGATACACACAAACACGCAACAAAATGATCGTAGTTACTACTAGTAGACATGGCCCAGTTTGCATTTCGAGGATCGTATTATTCACTATCTTTGCTTCCAGGCTCAGCTGCATTTCTCGGTGCCACTCCCATGGTCATACAAGGAAGAGAATAGAACTGAACACAGATGGAGTGATTTGAGAAAGTACTGTTCTTTATTTTCTTTCGTTGGGCTGTTTCTTTCTCAGTGTGTTCGTAGGCACTGTGTCATTCGTAAAAAATAAAAAGCAGCATAGTTTGGCAAGCTCCCAGCACCTCCGACTCACCCGCAGCCGCTCGATAACAAGCTGGTCAGGAAACGTCTGTGCATCGTGTCGCAACGCCTCGATGAACTGCTTCTGCGCGGCGTAGCGAAACATGGGCATCACCTTGAACAGGCAGTCTGTCAAAGAATGCAAACACATACGCGTACACACACACACACACACATGCACATGCACACACGCAAGCACATACACACGCACACGTGCACACACACACACAAGCACATACACACATACACACGCACACACACACACACACACATACACACGCACCCACGCACGCACACACACATGCACACACACACACGCACACACAAACAAACATTATTCCAACACAAACACATCGGTAGCCGGGGACAGGCACGCATCTACAGTGCTCCCACATAATTATAATAGATGAATTTCTGGGATTCAGTCAGACTGACTTTTCCGCACCAGCGAATTTCCGTACGGGTCTGAAAAACCGGACGATTTGAAAGCACTGCATCTACCAAGGCTTTGAATACACACACGCTGTCGGTTTCTTGCATGGCGTAGCACAGTATTACAGCAACAGAACAGTTATGTCTGTATTAGCAGCAACAGCAACAGCAGCATCAACATCAGTACAGTAAGATCGGGCGCCGAAGAACGCAGGGGCTAGAGCGCAGCCTAGGAAAGTTCTTAAATTTTTGATTCTAGCCAGACCGTTCTTATTCACACGCGCGCGGCGAGTAGAGTGACGTCATGACGTTTGTCATGTACATGTGCATAATACATGTAGTGCAATGTACGTGTAGTTCTAAACTAGTGGGTGTCGTAAATGGGAATGACTGTACATGTAGCAGTTACTGTTTACACGTGTACATGACATGTACTCACCTCCCATACATGTACAATGTAGATCTACGTACAATGTAGATCTAGTGTTCTTAAATCTGATAATTCTAGCCTGGACTGTTCTTAAATTTTGCCGGTTTTCCAGCCTGAGTGTTCTTCGGCGAGGTGTTCTTCGGCGCCCGATCTTACTGTAGGTACTAACATCAGCAGCAGCAACAGCAACAGCATCAACACCAGCAGCAGCAGTGAACACAATCAACAAGACAAACCCAATACCTCTGAACTTGACCGGTGGTTTCGACAGTGAGCCGGCATCGGGGCGCAGCACACACCGGTCATCCACCAGACTGCAAGCATGCGTACAACGCAACACAACACCACACAATACACAATGCACAGAGTCAGGTCGTTGAATGTCTCGGTACTCCCTGTCAGTGTTGTGCCATTTCGTCGCACTCGCTGACTGTATATGATCTGGTTACTTTGGTGGACAGTTGGTCATGACTCGTAATATGTCGTCCTTCTCCTTTTTTTACATTAATGTTGGATAAATTTTGAAAAGAAGTCTCTCGGGAGAATTCACCAGAACTAAACAAAACTACACGGGAAAAGAAGATATCAAATATAGATATCAAGGTGAGAGTCTAGAAGTTTGGACGATTACATCGTCATGCTAAGTGTCTGGTGTGGAGTGGCACCACAAGCCCCAATTCGCCACCCCATGCAAAGCACATGTTGATGATGATGTCACTCACTGGTTTACCACACCATGTAAACCAAATAACTATGTCATGCATTGGCTTGTCACTCCCTACAAAGCACATGCGATGATATCATGTGCATAGCCTCTATAGAAACCAGACCAACAATATCGCTGGCTGTCATAGCACTGTGATTCTCCCAGGCCAGGAGCATCGCGGCGCTATTCGACAACCACACAGTGCCAATTCAGCCAAGCTGAGTTGAGTCAACTGCACTGTTCAGCTGGCTTGTGTACACAGATCGCATCATACACACTTACACTTAGCGCAATCATTAACATTTGTTCCCCTGTTGAGCTGAAATCAGCTAAAAACAAGCCGGGCTGACAGTGGTAGGGTATGACGTAAATGTAATGCATGAGTCGTGGCACGACACTACAACATAGTGGCGTGTACTAGTATCTAAACTAAGACCAGTCGGAGATGAAGTGTGTCGCGGGAACAACAAAGCTGCACAATTGGTGACACCTGTGAGCTATCAATCAGCGTTAACTTCATTGTGACAACATCCTTGCAACTATGGCATGCGAGCAGGCAAGTGCAACAGCCGGTAACACTGACGGTGAGACACTGGCACCAGTGCATCTTGGCACGTATGGCAAGGAAACATGCAAGTCAGTGTATTGACTTTTCTCACACTGACAGTGAGACATTGGCACGAGTGTATCTTTGCATGCATAAGAGGCTTTACAGTGAGCCACTGGCACCAGTGCATCGTTGCACGTATGGCAAGGAAGCATACACGTGTACATGCATTGACGTTTCTCACACCGAAGGCGAGATGTTACTCACCGTGTGACTGACGAACAACCAAGGCCGCACTCTCACAATGACATTATTATAGCGTCACCCACTCAGCATTATACCACACCAGACTAGCGAAGAGAAAATCGTGCAAAGTCGCCAGAAGATAGCACACTAGCTAGAATATAACAATTTAACTGGTGGATTCCAGGGATCAGCAAATACTATACCTAGTCATTGTTTAACAGAGAAGCTGTGAGGAACTCATTGTTCTCATTGTCATCATTGTTTGAGCGCAACAGCTGTCTGGAGGATATTGTCAACATCTACCCCAGAACGAACTTCCTCGCTGTGGAGTGGTGTGGTGAATGTGGGCCAAGAGCGCAGTGTGGAGAGGTGGACGGTTGAGATTATCATTGTTTTTTGTTTTTTGTTTTTTTGATTTTTTGTTTTAATTTAAATTTTGTTGTGTTACCAGAAAACATGGGGCTGGATGTACTGTACCGGTATCAACAAGTTGTCTCATTCAGCCACTACTAAAGTGTAGTGCTGGGAGCTGATGCTGCAAGCCCCGACAGTCCAATGGAGAAGCTGGGAAGTGCAGGGAAGCGAAGCATGCTTCGTGCGGTAAGCAGTTTTGACATTGAGTGTGCACCGGTCTACATGTATGTAGCATGAACTGGATTCGACCGTCTCACTGCTTGCCAGCGTAGCTGATTCCCGGTGAGGGGTGAGTTTTCAGCAAATGATACTTCCGATTTCTAGCCCTTCTTTGTCACTGGCCCATCGTGTCCCTGGACAGACGTGCTCGTGCAAAAGTGCAACATACTGTGCACAGTGAAATGGGTCTGACTAATAGGCTAATAGCATATAAAGACACCATCCACACTGAGGGGCCGAGAAAACACTGTGCTGAGCAATGAAACCTGTGTCCACCGTGCCCAATGCCACACCAGGCGTTATCTAGCCCTAGACCTGCGTACACTGGGGTGTGAAATTGAGCGCGGGGCGCAAACTTGACCGACGTGATCGGTTTCATTTAACAACAGCACTGTATATTATCAAGAGTAGATAAACAAAGGGTGTGCAATTCCGGATCTCTCCAGCACAATCTGCAGATACCCCGGCCCACAGCAGAATTTTTTGTTGACGTCACCTTTTTTCAGAAAAAACGCGCATTTTGCCGCAGAGCAGTGTGAGAGCACGTGCTGGGCACCAACCTTGTAATGTAAAGCCCGGCCAAGTGCACGAAGCAAAACTTTCCAAAAGACTCGCAGCGCGTGCGTCGTAGAAAAGATTACGTGAATAAAAAATTCCCCCATGGACGAACCCATCCGTGAGTCGCACACTCTTGTTTATCTATTCTTGATATTGTGCATAACAAGAACCCGGGCGTGGAATAGAACTCCTGCTGTGAATTACACTGCAGCGTGTCCACCTTACAGTACCGCCGGGCGCCGAAGAACAAACAGGCTAGGATATCACCAAGCACATCATACCAATATATTAATATTATACACTTTGACTCAACTCCACATAGACTGCAATACATGAAAATAAGAACGGTCTACAGTCCATTTCACAACTATAGACGCGTACCTAGGCAAAAACCGTTATGCCAGCATCTATACCACATAAAATCTGTGATCACTTTGTGCATAAATTTTTCCAAATTGGGCGTCTGTTATCCAATCGTTTAGAAACTATAATATGAGAGTAATTGTGGAGCGGGCCTGAGCAATATTCCGAAAACTATTCTCAAAAAGCTCCAGCCAAATTTGAAATATTTCAAAAACCCTACGTGTCTATAGTTTTGAAATGGACTGTAGGATAGGGACCCACCTGTTCTTCGCCGGCCCATAGTACTGTACCCAACGGTCGCCGATGAACAAACAGGCAAGCATATCAGTAAGCACAGTATACCAATGTATACACTTTGACTCAACTGTGCATACCGGCGGACTGTTTTACGTGACTATAAGAGCAGCCCAGGCTACGAAGCTGACCGTCCAGTTGTTTGGTGACCAAAAGTACTGTAGTCATATCAGATGTGTACCGTAGGGGACAGGCATACGTGAGTGTGTAAAGTGAGTAACATTCACTGAGACTAAACTCTACACATTCGTTTTGTTGAGCACTCCCGGTAGGCTGCTCCAGTGCTGCTGCATTACGCACTGCCCGCTACTTTTCGTAGTTAGAGCACTCTGGCGCTAGAGCGACGAGCTATCTTTTAAAATGTCTGTGGTGCCTCCTTTGCACCATCGCTGGTAGATTGGCTTGCTTAAAGATCGTAGCTGTACTGCTGAGGCCTTTACGGCCGAAACAGCTTGCTGTCTACAGCATTGGGTAAGCTCTACACATGGACACACGCACTCATCCAAGCAAGCATGCATGTGTGCTCACAAACACACACACACACACACGCGCGCGCATTCGCCCTCTGCAATTCACACTTCCCCTCACCCTAGGGTGCTGACGAATCCGGTGGTGTTGCCTTCCGAGTAGAGTGAGATGATGTCGCCATAGTGGAGGTGACTTGGTGCTGGCTCAACCATGTCACCACCTGCAACCATACGCGCAGACACACGTGCACACACGTACAGACACACGCACATACGTACAGACACATGCACACATGTACGTACCCACATGCGTGATTAAAGAGGAAGTGTGGCCTAAAAATCAACATTTCACTGCTTGTAGTATTCGGGACGCTGAGTCGAATGGTCTTGGCCGGAGAAAGCCGAGACGCTCCCTTCATCCTATATAGACAGGTAAGTACTGATGCGCCCGTGATAGGACCTCTGGTTGGAACGCTAGAGGCACTGAGAACATCGCAAGGTGCACCTCCAATTACGGAGTTTCTGCAAGATTGCAGGCGAGCCGCATCGTCAATGTTCGACGGCTCTTGTCAAAATGTCACCCAGGCACTCATGTGGCTTGTTGAAACACGCGACGAGTACCTGCGCAGCAGCAGCAAACGAGCCGACACCATGATGTCTCAAATGATGATCGGCTACATCAATTAATGGCACTGAGACTGTGAACAGTGTCCACGAAACTTTGCTGACGGCCACCGTGAATTACAGACCGTCCACAACATACTGATCACTGGCGACACAAGCGAAGATGCGTACAGATGTCTGACGCACACAGCGCACCATGAATGTTCTGCATGCCGTGGAAATCATCACGAAATATGTCGCATATCCACTATGGCCCGCGCGCGCGCGCGTAATGTGTGCGCAGTCTCGCTTGCACTTCAAGCTCTGAGACCACTAATCTCGCTCCCAGCAACTTGCTGGTTGATGCTGAGGTAGCGCACTGTGTCCTCCTGCTCAACTAGTGAGGATGGGTCGTTGGTGGGAATCCTCTCAACTTGCCGTGCATTGCGTTGCTAATTGCATGTGCCATGCTTTCTTGTGCTTCTTGCAATACAGAAACCGATTTCACTATTGAATGCTTGGATGCACTGGAGCCTGTGCCGGTGTCACAGGAGCGCGGGCACGATGTCCAGCGGCAGCGCGGACAGCATCGGCGCAGACGACGCCGATGGGCACCTTGGCGAGGCCACGCATCCACGCCCACACATTCCTACCACGGTAACATGTAAGCTCCGTGTCATGTGCAACGTGCCGTGTCAGTGGTTGTGGCGTATGTGCACCACCACTGAACCCGTATGTCCTGCGCTGTGTGTCCATCTGCAGTATCCAGGTGCACAATGTATTCTCCGGGAGGCAGCCACGGGCCCGTGGACGTGGCCGTGGCATGGAGAGGTAAGGAGCAGTGTGTGTGTGTGTGTGAATCTCCCTATTCATGCATTCTGCCTACACATTTCCACCTCGGTGTCCACAACATCGACCTGTGCTAAATCGTTGGACAAGGAAAATTTCCCATAACCTGCAACTAGTGAATTTCCCGATGTGTGCGGTCCATAAGCTTGCATCGATGGTATGCAATGGCACGACCCCCTCCCCACAGCAGCACCAGCAGCTGCAGCAGGGCTGGGGCATGTGAACCTGCCGTGCAGGAGCCTGTGCCGGTGTCACAGGAGCGCGGGCACGATGTCCAGCAGCAGCGCGGACAGCATCGGCGCAGACGACGCCGATGGGCACCTTGGCGAGGCCACACGTCCACGCCCACACATTCCTACCACGGTAACATGTAAGTTCCGTGTCATGTGCAACGTGCCGTGTCAGTGGTTGTGGCGTATGTGTACCACCACTGAACCCGTATGTCCTGCGCTGTGTGTCCATCTGCAGTATCCAGGTGCACAATGTATTCTCCGGGAGGCAGCCACGGGCCCGTGGACGTGGCCGTGGCATGGAGAGGTAAGGAGCAGTGTGTGTGTGAATCTCCCTATTCATGCATTCTGCCTACACATTTCCACCTCGGTGTCCAAACATCGACCTGTGCTAAATCGTTGGACAAGGAAAATTTCCCATAACCTGCAACTAGTGAATTTCCCGATGTGTGCGGTCCATAAGCTCGCATCGATGGTATGCAATGGCACGACCCCCTCCCCACAGCAGCACCAGCAGCTGCAGCAGGGCTGGGGCATGTGAACCTGCCGTGCAGGAGCCTGTGCCGGTGTCACAGGAGCGCGGGCACGATGTCCAGCAGCAGCGCGGACAGCATCGGCGCAGACGACGCCGATGGGCACCTTGGCGAGGCCACGCGTCCACGCCCACACATTCCTACCACGGTAACATGTAAGTTCCGTGTCATGTGCAACGTGCCGTGTCAGTGGTTGTGGCGTATGTGCACCACCACTGAACCAGTATGTCCTGCGCTGTGTGTCCATCTGCAGTATCCAGGTGCACAATGTATTCTCCGGGAGGCAGCCACGGGCCCGTGGACGTTGCCGTGGCATGGAGAGGTAAGGAGCAGTGTGTGTGTGAATCTCCCTATTCATGCATTCTGCCTACACATTTCCACCTCGGTGTCCACAACATCGACCTGTGCTAAATCGTTGGACAAGGAAAATTTCCCATAACCTGCAACTAGTGAATTTCCCGATGTGTGCGGTCCATAAGCTCGCGTCGATGGTATGCAATGGCACAACCCCCTCCCCACAGCAGCACCAGCAGCTGCAGCAGGGCTGGGGCACGTGAACCTGCCATGCAGGAGCCTGTGCCGGTGTCACAGGAGCGCGGGCACGATGTCCAGCAGCAGCGCGGACAGCATCGACGCAGACGATGCCGATGGGCACCTTGGCGAGGCCACGCGTCCACGCCCACACATTCCTAACACGGTAACATGTAAGTTCCGTGTCATGTGCAACGTGCCGTGTCAGTGGTTGTGGCGTATGTGCGCCACCACGGAACCCGTATGTCCTGCGCTGTGTGTCCATCTGCAGTATCCAGGTGCACAATGTATTCTCCGGGAGGCAGCCACGGGCCCGTGGACGTGGCCGTGGCATGGAGAGGTAAGGAGCAGTGTGTGTGTGAATCTCCCTATTCATGCATTCTGCCTACACATTTCCACCTCGGTGTCCACAACATCGACCTGTGCTAAATCGTCGGACAAGGAAAATTTCCCATAACCTGCAACTAGTGAATTTCCCGATGTGTGCGGTCTACAAGCTCGCATCGATGGTATGCAATGACTGAATGCTTCACAAACTCCGTCTGTTGCCTAAACACGCATTATTCTGCCTTCTCCCTGCGTTCGTGTCCAGGTCGCCTTAGTTTCAATCGCCACTCATCACTGGGCCATTGAAACAGCCTCGACAGCATTCATGCAATTAAAAATGTTTCGTCCGCAAGCCAATGTGTTGAATTAAGTCTGCTGAAGTGCTATTGCACAACAGGGAGGTGTGGGGTGGTCTCACTGGCCCGTCACTGACGACAGAGATTTGGGCGCATGCGCGGGGCGTTGGTGCGGCGCACGGTTGCCACGATGCGCATGTGCGCTTATGCACCCCTGTCTACAGCAATGCGTACTGTTGTGTGTTTCCGCTTGTCTGTGTGTCTCTTCACGCTTCTGCCTGTGCGTATGTACATTGGTCCATGTCACGTCACCTGTACGCGTGTCTGCGTGAGTGTATACACGTATGTGCAGTCGGGCAGCATGAGTTGCCGATCAGGAGGGCCGTGCCAGTGCCACGCACTGCCGAAGCGCGGGTGCGCACAGCTGGCTATGTGACCACCCCAGTCCAATGTCCCATCGCGACGGGACCGAGTTGGGGCTCGACACCATATCGATGCCCACACGAAAACTGACCGGTTACACGGGAACGTTGAATGTGCGATGCTCCATGGTACAACCTCTCTACACTCATTTACTGGGAAACATTTAGTGGTTCAATGGGTTGCTTGTCCTCATGGCTGGGGCCGGGGTGGGTGTGGGAACGGAAAAAGAACTGAAATTATCCATATAAAAACCGCTCTGTGACCGGTTCTGAAAAACCTTTACTTGTGCAGCCCCATCGTAAAACTATGAAATTAGAACTGGCCCTTTGTCCCCCCAATGTGAAATGGTCCACCTAAATAGGGAATGACGGGACCCGAACGCACCAGTAGCACGAGGTCGGGACGGCACAAGATCACGATCATAGGATGACACCACCACTACTGCCTGGTACCAGGGGCAGTGTAACTAATGTAGTAGTAGGGTGTACCACCACCACTACTACAGGGTATCAGTGGCCATGTAAGTTTGCCAGTAGTAGATCTAAACGTGGGATATCCAACAATGTAACATGGGAGTTCAGCGTCGACCATGCATGGCCTATACTGACATTACTATGGGGCTGTGGACCAGCGTCCCCATCTGCATCCACAGATGTAGGTAGGAACCTCCTGCTACTGGTGCGTTCGGGTCCCGTCATTCCCTATTCCCAACACAGCAGTTTCGTTCTTATTTTATGGTCCAGTCTTACGTGTACACTTATACAGAGTTACCGTATTTTTCCGGTTGTAAGTCGACATTTTACGACTAAAAATAGAAGGAGAAAGGGTGGGGGTAGACTTACAACCGGGATTCGACTTATAACCGGGAACTATCAGTACCTTTAAAAAATGACCTGCTCTGCATGCAAGAGTGCACCATGTGTACACCTCTTTTCCAGTTTATTGGCCTTTTTCTAGGATTGGGACGTCATGCTCTCCAATAAGGAATGTTTACATGATTTGTTGATGTGTTAGTAGCAGGGAGTAGTTAGTTGGGGTGATAACTTTAAAAAGCAGAATTGAGACCTCCGGATACGGGGGTCGACCTATAACCGGGGTCGACTTACAACCGGCAAAATACGGTATACGTTTGAGCGTACATCATAGTGTATATTACGGTTTCCGTTCTTATCTGCAAAAAATCTAGCCTACACCGTTGTTAAAAATTGGTGAAATTCTAGGCTGGCCGTTCTTCGGCGGTTCGTTCTTCGGCGCCCGACAGTATTGTAGTTGTTCATTCCCAATGTTCCCGGATAAGAGAAGGCCAGGTGTAGACTCTGCTTGTGCAATATTACTGCCACCAAGAGTACATAACCAAGAGTGTGCAACTCGACGATCCCCCAGCCCATGGCGGAATTTTTTTATGACATCAGTCTTTGGCGGCTGTTTGGCTCGCTGATGCCATCATGCATAGCCAGAGATCAAAGTACAAAGAACTTGTACATCACAGCTACGGTAGTCGAAGCAGAACAACGGACGATAGATCGATGTGTCCTGAACCTGGTGAACTCTCACCGTATTTACAAAAAATGTGCGGGAAAGCATACACACTTGATCATACTTCAGCCAAAGAATGACGCAATAAAAAAATTCCGCCGTGGGTGAACCCATCGCAGCTCGAGATAGGAGTTGCACACTCTTGTTTATGTACTCTTGCTGCCACCAACAGTCCATAATCCCCAGAGACTGATTCGATCTGGGAATTCGAAATCCGTGCTGCACGTCATAGGGCAACATCATGAGTAGGGGAAGTGTGTCCGTGGTGGACCGCGTCGACGGAATGACGCAAGTCCGACCTAAAAAAATGACGTACATCACGGATTATGCCGCCCCACAAGCCCATCCCAGTTGCGCACTCTGGGGGATTATGGACTCTAGCTGCCACCTTACAGCGAGTTTCAAAAGTATAGACCTCTGGAGTTTGTTTTTAAACGTTACAAAATCTGTGACCACTTTGCGCATAAAATTTCCAAAATCTGGAATTTGTTATCAAATGTTTAGAATCCATAAAGGAGAAAAAATTAGGAACCAGCCTTAGCGCCTGAAGAAATTTCTCACAAAGCCATGAGTCTAAAAGCACGGTGTGGTATTAAATGGAAGCAAGGAAAACGCTGAGGAACAAGTTATGCGTCCACCGACTATTAAAACCAGGTTTTGAACAGTCAGACGTGCACAAGGTAGCACCAGACTGACAGGGAGCACTGAGACACCATCTGATTACTTCCTGAACTGTATGGTATTGACTAATACCCCCCCTCTTTACACACACACGCACGCACGCACCCACGCACGCACACACACGCAGCTTACCGTCAAACTGAGTCATGTATGACACCATGGTTACCCCGACCACTCCTGCACATGCATAGCACACAGAATTACAGTGGCAGGAACAGAACAAGAATATTACGCACCGCATCCACAATGACTCATTAAAAGTCATGCTGCGCAAGATATACCCAGTGAATGCTTCATGATGAGATGCAGGGTGGCAGTTCTCCTAACGGGTGTTTGCAGTGGTTTCAAATCTTTATTCTCACGATGGGCCTGTGGCCAATAAGAGAAAATTATAGTGAGATTAGTACGATGCGGAAATTTCATGGCTAGCAGTGATCAAACTAGATGTACGGTTGAGCGTGGCTCGTGCATGAGCAAATTGAATTCAGCGGCAGGGTTGATGTATTTTGCTTAAACAAAACTGGTTGTTGTTGATTTTTATTTTACTTCACAAGGCCAAAACGGGCAATGGTGCCCAATTCTATGGAAGCAAATTTCAAAGCGGGAGAGAGCGAGGGGGGGGGGGGAGATACAGAGTTACAGAGAGGGAAGCAGTGAGGTTAGGGGCATCGGGGAGATGGATTAGTGGTGCGTAGTGGGCGCATCAACGTGTGGTTGGGGGTAGCAGCGGAGAACAAATTCGAATTTTTGCTCAAGGGGTAGGATGCATGTTTGTTAAGTTCGTAGATTTCAGTTTTTTTTTCTTTTTTTGGGCAACCCAGCCGGCACCAGGTTGGACTGTAAGGACGTAGATTTTTAAGATACTAGTGGTAGGCAAGGTACTGTAAATCAACAAATTTTGGCCGGTGAGAGACTTTGGCCGATCTCGAAATGAAACTTTTGGCCGTCATTAAACTTTGGCCGATTAGGGTTTTCAAAAAAGAAATCGATCAGTAGTTGGTGCTCTCACATGCATCCCTGCATAATTTGCCTCTATGACAAACTTTGGCCGGTTGGTACCCAGGGGCGAAATCAGCGAAATTAAATCGCCAGCGAAAATTAGTTTATTTACAGTAGTTCCCGCCATGAGCGAGACGGCAGAAAGCAGCCCCTCAGCCGTTGTCGGTGAGGCTCAGATGAAACTGCTGTGCTCATTGCCAGGTATTGAGCACTCCGTGCTTGCCGGCGTGCAAACCCTCGCGACACTGGTCAGCGCGACGAGAGACTGCGAAGAGCGCCTGAAGCGGAGAGTAGTCGAGATGGCGAAACAGTTGAAGGAAATCCAAGAAGAATCGTCTGGGCTACAAAACTCCACCATTTGTCGCAGGCTCGAAGGGCCCGCCACACTCAACCACCACGGCAGGGCTGGGCACCCCGAGGAAACGACGAGGCCAGAGTAGTGTAGTAGTAAGTACTCACTTCAAGTTCAAACTCAAGTTCTGGTACCTGTACGAGAGCTTCAGCGTGGTGGCTGGCAGCAGCCTGGGCGCTCTGCTGCGCGTGGTCTGGGGCAGTCCCATCAGCAGAGCCCGTCGAAGTCCCAGAGCTTGCCCGTGCACGTGTAGCACTTCCGGGCCAGGCCTTGATGGCACGGTACTTCCAACTTTTAACCCTTTGGGGTCCATGGTTCGATTTCGAACCATGGGCATTTTGTATGCATGTGGGCGCAGTCAAACTTTCGGTTCTCAGCCAAATCTTGACCAAATTCAACAATAGAAGGGTCTAGATGATAGAGAAAACTCTCAGCTATCGCCTCGAACAGGTCCGAAGTCTCTCCGATGAAGGTTGAGTGAGCGGAGAGCGATCAAACATTTCGAATTTTCTGCGCTGCGTGCTGCGAGTCAGCATTGCGTGAAAAAAAAGGGATTGTCCCAGCTTCATGACAGGCGGCACGTGCCAGGACCGGCGCGGCGCGAAGTCACAGCAAGGTAAGCTTCCACTCGAAAACATTTGAACAGTTCCGAGCTAGATTCAGTGAAATGGCTACAGGAGACCGATTTCGTCTCAGATCTGGAGCTGGCCTCGCGTTTGGGGCGCGTTGTGGCGGACAATGAATAGTGCTCTTGGCGAGTTTGGGCTCATTGTATTTCTCTCATCAAGAGATTTCCAACGAGCCCAAGATCTTTAAAATCGGTGAAGTAGAACCAAAGTTATGTTGGAAATGGAGTGCGCATTTTCGTGACTGCCACAAATTCTGCGGAAGCAAAAAAGTTACGGACTCCAAAGGGTTAATACTCGAACTCCTCATCTGGTGCGTCACGTTGTTTGAACTTGAGTTGCTATAGCCGATCGTGGGACCTTCACTCCCCTCGCCGTGTCCACAACCGGACCGTTGGCATCCGAAACCAACCGCTTTCTCGAGCATGTGTGCAACATGCTAACCAGCCAAGCAGGACATATGGAAAGGTGATGCGATGGCCTACGACCACCGTACATGTACTCGAACTCGGATTATGCACTCGTACCTCGCACATCCGGGCGGACCTGGAATGAGCACTGCCCATAACCTGAATATCGGTAACTCTGAAACACAGGTTTCAACGGGGAATGGCCAGATATTTGGCATAACATGATGTCACTGCAGTACAACCTGTAACTAAAGACCACCGTGACTAGTGACCAGCCTGGTACTACCGTAAAACCTGTAACTAAAGACCACCGTGACTAGCGACCAGCCTGGTACTACAGTAAAACCTGTAACTAAAGACCACCGTGACTAGCGACCAGCCTGGTACTACAGTAAAACCTGTAACTAAAGACCACTGTGACTAGCGACCAGCCTGGTACTACAGTAAAACCTGTAACTAAAGACCACCGTGACTAGCGACCAGCCTGGTGCTACAGTAAACCCTGTAACTAAAGACCACCATGACTAGCGACCAGCCTGGTACTACAGACCACTTCGCCAGGCACGGGCGGTCTCACATCCATGTATGGTTGTGTGGTGCAAACCTCTAACTAAGGACCACCCCTGACACCAAAGACCGCTTTCTCTGGCCCCAAGGGGTGGTCATTAGTCACAGGTTTTACTGTTCAGTCACAGGTTTTTACTGTAGCGGCAAACACAATAGGGTCCTGCACATTCAATACCCAGCCGGGTCTACGGGATTCTACGAGAGTTATCTTATCTGTATTCTACTTCACCATAGGTACAAGCCTTGCTGCCTTCTTGCTGGAGATCATGAATGATGCCACAGCTCCTAGGCTATGATGAAGGGGGCACAAGTGTTGCTTGTCTCCCCTTTGTTGGCGCTAGGTTCTACCTATACATTTTGTGGGTTGTATTCACTTGTAGCGACATGCTACCAGACACGCATTGTTGTTCATTCGGTACAAAACCGGAGGTGTCATTGCTGTCGTTTGAGGTTGACTGAGCTGACAGCCGTGGACGAGCACATGTCAGGGCTCAACACACAGAGCTGTCAGGGTAAACCGTAGGCTGCTACAGTCAGACCTCGCATAACCGCACACATCCGTTTTCCACAAAACAATATCCGTTACATAGCCGAGGGAACCGGATAATCGAACACGCATACTGTATGTATGCATGACATATGCTGTAAATAGGTTCCCACATAAAAGATGATGCAAGGCGCAAGCTTGACGCAAGCGACGAGATTTCACTGTAGAATGCTGGCCCATGAACTCGGGGAATGTGACCTACAAGCATATTTACTTAGCACTGGGCGTTCATCTGCCCGAGCCCCGCATTCGCAAACACTTAACCGGATGGTGTACTAGTGCCGGGCACTACCCTACTCACAAGCCTCAATTTCAATAACCTGTTATGGACGCAGCTAACAAGGTTCGCCCCCTTGTCGGGCATCGGTCGGGACACTTACCACTTCACCCCGCCGTTAGGCACCGCATCTGCCACCCTGGCACACCGTATTTTCCCGTTTATAAGTCGACCCCGGTTAAAAGTCGAAGCCCTATACTTGGGACTCAATTTCCCGGTTTAATTTCAAAACGCGGTGCAAATCTCACGTTATGTGTAAATTTTAGAGGTTAAGTTACACGTGCGACGTGATGTGAAATTTTGCCTGGCAGGATTCGGGGTTAGTTCACACAAATATCAAATCTTCCAACAAACTCGATAAAACTACGGAAACTCACACAAATTCGATCAGGATAACCAAGCTGGAGCACTCCATCCGACAGCGGTTCATCCCTGCTCTAACCGGTGCCCCGCACCTGGTGACGAAGAGCGCTCCATACTGTCCCTCCCATGTCGAGAAGGTGGTCTTGGTCTCATTGACCCTAGGTCTTTGACGGACCAATACAATTATGTCTGTCGCTGTCACCAACATCCTCGTGAGCCGGATACTGGACCGAGACACCAACATGGACGAAGTGCCCACCACCATCCGTGCTGCCAAGCTAACTGCAGCAGCAGCAGCAACCAGAAGAGCCGCTTGAGACCGAGCCAGTCAGCTCCTGGCCACTTGTGATGCGCCCACCAAGCGAACCATGGGGATGGCGGCCGAGAAAGGAGCGTCCAACTGGCTCACTTGCCGGCCCCTGAAGCAGTTCGGGTTTGTCCTCCACAAAGGCGCCTTCAGAGACGCACTCTGCCTGCGGTTCGGCTGGGTCCCTCCCCGCCTGCCATCCACTTGTGTGTGTGGCAAGGCGTTTAACACCAGCCATGCTCTTTCGTGCCCGACTGGTGGATACCCGGCTCTCCGCTATAACACGATCTGCGACCTGACAGCCGACCTACTGCGTGAAGTGGCAACGGATGTGAAGGTAGAACCTCCTCTGCAGCCCTTGGAGGGTGAAAGGCTTCGGTATCACTCTGCCATCTTGGAAGATGGTGCTCGTCTTGATGTGGCGGCATCCGGTGTCTGGGGAAGTCGTTTTGAGCGCACATTCTGTGATGTTCGGGTGTTTAACCCTCATGCGTGTTCGAACACTTCCTCAACTCCCGCGTTCACCTATGCCAAGCACGAACAGCAGAAGAGAAGGGCCTAGAACGCGTCAGGGAGGTGGAGCATGCTTCCTTTCTCCCACTGGTATTCAGTGCATCTGGTGGGTGCGGGAAGGTAGCCCACGCTTTCCTGAAGCGTCTTGGCCATATGGTCTCGGAGAAGCGGCATGAACCCTACTCCTCCGTAGTGTCCTGGATCCGCTCCCTTGTCTCCTTTGCTTTGGTCAGATCATGCAACATGAGCCTCCGTGGTTACCGTGCTTCTCCGTACCGCAGTCGTGTGGATGCTGCCAGTTCTGTTGTGCTGGCAGTCAACGACTGTCAGCTGCGTGACTGAGACTCTTGCAGAGTAGCCGTGTCTAGCATTTATATTCCACACTTTTATTATCCGATGATCTTGTTTTGTTTGCTATGATTCCGTGATTTCTGTTGGCTGCTTTCTGCTGTGCGAATAAAAAAAACTGAACGGTCAAAATCAGGATACCGGTAACCAAGCGAAACTTCCAAAAACCCACGTCACAAACTTCCGTGCGGGGCAGTCAACTCACGTAAAACATGCCAATTGCACGCGAGTTTTTGAATTTTTGACGTAAAAGTTCACGGACGTAAGAATTTTACGTGAAACTTAACCTCTCTAAAGGCAGTTAAACCCCGGTAAGTCGATTACCCCTTTTTCAGTTCCGTTTTTAGGTCGTAAAAGGTCGAGTTATATTCGGGAAAATACGGTTATCAGGCAGGGTGGTGGCCTCGCATGAGCGAAACCTCTCTATTAAAGCTAGTTTTACAGTAAAGCCTGTCAAGGCGACCACTCGGATAAGGCGCCCACCTGTCCTAGAAGACCACTGGAACCAGCACCAAGAGATGCTATTTCCAGTCAAATGACCCTGGACAAGGAGACCACCTGGTAACAGAGACCACGCCGTGAAGGTTCCATGAGCGGCTGTCTTAGACAGGTTCCACTGTACTTCTAAACACAATCGTATACCTGGTGGGAACGCGGATGTGCGAACTTTACTTTTACTTTGACTCGAGGAAAAATCGCTCAGAGAGTGACAGAGCACGGTCCGGAAATGAAACTCGAATGGGATACACGGGGAGACTCTATAAACATTCAAAACTAGAATATTTGCATCAATTCTACTTCTTCGGAGGCTCATTTTGCCTAATCTTCCACTGGCAAAAAAAACAATAGGACTATTTCGAGGGCAAAGACGTAAGAACAGAGCGCCTGCGCAGCGTTATGACCGGGGATAGCAATGATGTACTGCACAAAATCAAACGTTTACACCTCCTCGAACAAATGTCATCGATGTGGACGAGGGACGGAGCCGTGCACACAAAATCCTCAAGGTCTTGTATTATGGCCTGATTTTTGTAATCCACCCGACTTTCAACACCACTCCAGACAAGGACACTGTACTGGAGCTTGGGAGGTGAGCTGGTGGGCGCACATGCATGACATGAGTGAGAAGAGTATACACTGTACTGTGTACATGCATCTTTTGTGTGTTTTTTTTGCACTCAAGTCCAAGCTATTCAATGGTAGATGCTGAGCATAACAGTCAGCATAATATTATACACAAAGCACAAAGTGAGGATGTTTGCACAGAGCCCGGATCACCTCAGAAGAATATGTACCTGTTTATGATGACTGGTTTGCAATCCACCCACCAAACATGGTTCTTCACTCAGTAGGTGCTGAGAAAGCAAGAAGTCGACCAGGTTCGCCTCAGCCTTTGTTTTTCCGGGGACGCAGCAACGCGACCGCAATCTTCCTTTTGCACACTATGACTGAAGTACATGCAACTTGCCGCACCCACAACTCAAGATTCGGTCACTCCACCCTGGACATTTGTTCACAACCTGAACCAACTAGTCATTCCGAACAATTTGCAAAATATAAAAATTGTATTGTACGAGGACCACATGTCGCGTAGCGCTTGACTGCGGCTTGTTGTGGATCTACACCATGTACCAGGGAGTCGTAGAGTCTACTCAAACTGACTACTGAGTTTGAGTACGACTCCCTGATCTACAACATTTTTTTTGTACAGTAAAAAAATAAATAAAAATAAAGCAGTATGTACGCGTCAGGATCAGGGAGTAAAAATAATACTCCCTGCTGCACTGGCGCATGGCTGCTCCCTGGCCTGGCTTTTTTACTAGTTTTATCAAGAGTACATAAACCAAAAAAAGGTTTGTGTACTCTTGCCAGGTACTACTACCAAGAGTGCCAGTTGCAGTTGGGGTTATGTACTCTTGCTACTAGTATACGTACTACTAGTACATGTTTTTCGATTTTGACAGCATGATATATTGACCTTTGATAAATACCCACACTCATTAGTGGCCACACCATCAACAGTATCAAATTCAAATAAACTTGCTTGACTCAATAAATACCACTGTACTTTTCCATGCAGCACTGCACTTTTCCCTAAAAAGGAGTATTTTATAAACAGTATTAATTTATTGGCCTAGGGGTATTTTATAAACAGTATTTATTGGCTTTTGGGCCAATAAATACTGTTTATAAAATACCACTAAGGCCAATAAATACTGTTTATAAAATACTCCTTTTTAGGGAAAGTGAAGGTCAACATAATGTATTTAGAAAAGCGATCCTGTCAGCTTTTCTATTATTGTGTTCACATGGCAGAAAAAACGACATCGCTATGCTACGTAAGTTTCTACGTAAGGTGCTCGGTATTTCACTTAGGCTACGTAAGTCTCTACGTAAGGTGCTCGGTATTAGATCTACCAACGCGTGGTAGCCGTGTGCTGTGCACGTGCACGGCAGACATTGTGTTCAGTGCATGCAGTCCGCGGATCCGTGTTCGGATGTGCATGCGCGAGGAACTTTACTTCCTTCTTTGGAACTGCTTCTTGCATGAACTGTTTCGGATATTTCGTCTCCTGGCCTGGCTTATTTCGTTTCGGCGCTGCTGAGACCTCCTTTCGCGGAATATTACTCAATGACAGGTGAGTTGACCAGTTGCCTTTGATTCTGCTTGTGTTGACTCTTTCATTCAGGAAAAGTGTGCTGATTTTAGGGCGGAAATTAATAATGGAAAAGTTGACAGGATCTCTTTTCTAAATTTTGCTCTTCTGCTGCCGAGCTGCGAGGCCGCCTTTTACGGAATACTCGATGACAGGTGATCTCTAAGTTGACCGGTTTCCTTCGATTCATTTGCTTATGTTCACCTTTCATTTACGGAAACGTGTGCTGATTTTATTCGGGTTTTGATCCATTTTTATCTCTTTGCCCTTGTCTACAGTGTGCGAAGAACGCGAGTTCAACTTCTTGACGGTAAGGCTTATGTTAGATGTGTTATTATTATTGTTATTATTTAAATTTTGAATAGGGCAATCCCCACAGGCCATGTGTTGTCGAAATACTCATATTCATTGTACATTGGTACGTTACAAGTAAGGCACTGGTCAGTGGCATACTATCGTTGGCAGTTCCCAATCTGGAGGGAAAGGTTCAAGTACCAATTGACCGAGTTTGCAAAATAAATTCGCATATCAGGGGAAATCTCTATTGTGGAGAGGTTCAGTAACTTGTTTGTTTCATACGAAACAAGCCAATGGGTGCAGTCTCGTGAAAATCTCGAACTTGTATGATTGGATTTGTTTACTCAAGTCTGGGCTGTTTGATTTGTGAGTACCGCCGAGATTGCACTGCCCCAAATAAAGTTTCGTGCCGCCAAAGCAAGAATTGCGATCTGCAATCTGTTTGTAGTACCTGTAAGAATGTGGAGTACATGTATCGTACTTTCTCTGTTGCTGTTTCAGTTGCCGTCATGTTGCTAAAGAAAGGTTCAGTAGAGAGGTTCTGCAAAACGAAAATTCGAACGAAGTTTCGCGACAGTCCTTGCGAAAGTGTGTGCGAATTTTTGCACGAACTTTGCGTTCTGCACATTTTCGTAGTTTTCGCGGGCCAAGTGCACGTACGCCATGACCCGATCTCACGAAATTTCCTACGACAGTTCATTTCGCGTTCCCTGCAAGTTTCGCACTTCATGATGTAGAGCGAAAGTTTGTACGCATTTCGTTTTGCAGAATCTCTCTAGTGACTCAATTGTTTCATACGAGACGAGTCAATGAGTCGGTGTGGCTAAGAATCTTTCGCTGTAGAAGAAATCTATTCGTATGTCTATTGGAGATATATTTGTGTTCTCTGGTTATAAAATAGGTTAAGCTCCCAGAATAAATACCATCGTTCCCTTGGTGTTCGTCCTAAAGAGGTCCTAAAGAGGACTAGATATCATTCATACTCACCAAAAGATGTGTAAGACTTTATTATTGTGGAGTGCCTTGTTTATCTCTCAGTACCTCCAACCATAGCCTTGCCCCTTTTCTCCTCAGGATCAGTGTAGTTGTTGGAACGAGGTTTTGGACTCAGCAATGTATTCGTTTACATTTTAATACATGTTTATTGTTCCTCCTTTGCTGTGTTGTTTTAGACAATCGTGGACTAACAGTTTGAAGTCATTGAACTACTTCCAAAAGTTGTATCGACATCGACAGGATTACGATTTCAGTTTCAATATGATGCTGGATGACCTTATCACGATAACCCATGACTATAAATCATTATAAACACAGAATCAACAAAAACATCTGCGACACGCACCTGGCGCGTGCATGGCTACATTTCTCCAATAAATCTGATTGAGGGTGGAGAAATCTGAAAGGCAAGACAATTTCATGAAATTCTGCAAGAGCAACACGCACAGAATGGCCTCCGTATAAAAAAGTATCACCACCACTGCTCACATGTTTCCCCGCAGAAGAACATGCATTATGCTAGTGCCATTTTCTGCAAGAAAAGGCTTGCACATCAATGCATGTAATATGGTATTGATATGATGTGAAGGCCATCATTTACATATTGATATAGGGCATTCCATTGATTGGTACATGGTGACAGAAAAAACAAAAGAAATTATAGCAATAAAAACTGCTTTATGGCAGTTTTCTAAAAAAAGTTATTGTGTTCTAGTCCATGGACCCCGTCTAAAAAGTAAGAAATTAACGAAATGTGATAGCTGAAAATTAAAATTTCACACAAAACCTCACAATAATCACACACAGAATGAAAAGCTACATGCAGAAGACATTTTCCCCTCGTGATCCTCTTTCCTATGCATGCATGTTGCCAATTGTTGGTGCAGCACAAGTTTAGTGTTGAAAGCAGCATTTCAAGTGTTGTGATTATTGTGAGGTTTTGTGTGAAATTTTAATTTTCAGCTATCACATTTCGTTAATTTCTTACTTTTTAGACGGGGTCCATGGACTAGAACACAATAACTTTTTTTAGAAAACTGCCATAAAGCAGTTTTTATTGCTATAATAATAAATGTAGTAGCCTCAGGATTTAGTGCAATTACATACCAGTTATAAAAACCTCGGCGGACCTCGGTTTTTATACTGGTATGTAATTGCAATAAATCCTTCGGCTCTCCATTTATTATTAATAAAAAAGCTAACATTGAATCCCTTCTTTACCGCAGGCAGTTTTTAAGCTTGGTTACCATGCACAAATTTATTTTCAAGTATCGACGTTGCCTAGCTTCATTCCATTTCAATATCACGCAGAGTGCGAGACGCCCTAACAAAATTATTCTCCCTAAAGCAAAGACCACATCAAAATCGTTGTTTCTCTTCCAAACCTCCCTCTTATGGAACTGCCTCCCACCAAGACTAACTGCAGAACCATCCATTATTGTTTTCAAGAATGAGCTTCGCAAACTCACTTGCAAACATAGTGCTTCGCTCTCCGGTATGCCTACGCCATGTACATAACCCCCCCCCCCCGTGTGCTCCCCAACGCATTCACGCTGCACAACTTTTCACTACTTTCACTTTAGCTCATACGTGTACATGTACATCCTTCAAAGCGGTAGTAGTAGTAGTAGTAGATTTTATTATTTTACTAGGGGAGTCCCAACAGGCGTTGCCTTTTTACTGGGAACCCTAGGTGAATTTTTACCATGTTTACATACAGAGTAAGAGACGGGGCCTGACGGCAGTCAGTGGGAAGAGCATTCCATCTGTCTGCCGCCAGGAAAGAAATAGAACGCATGCCATATTGCGTAGAAACAGGCGGAAGAACTAATGCGCGCTGTGCCTGGCCGCGCGTGCGGGCCTGGTGTCCAGGCACAGCAGCCCTAAGCTGGAACAAGGATTGGAGAAGGGGACTAGCAAGATGTGGGGTCAAGCAGCGGTACACGAAAACATAGAGTTTAAGATTTGTGCGCTGTTCAAAAGAATAGAGATGATATTTGCGGAGAACAATTTCAGTAGACATCATACGGTCAAACCCAAAAACTTTCTTCATTGCTATGTGACTGACCGTCACGATTTTATTGAACAGGGTGGCGCGGTGAACCCCTTGATAGGCGACAAGCCTCTGGGTCATCCTAATAAAGATATTATTATTATTATTTATTAAATTTTTAATAGGGCATTCCCACAGGCCTAAGGCCTTCTTACGGGGCACCCTATATGTTTTTGTATAGATGAGCGGAAGTCTGATAGCGTGGAGCAAATACGAACAGAAGCAGGGAGCGAATTCCAGCGATCTGCACCTAAGAAGCTTAATGCGTACAAGCCATAGCGGTTATTAGCCGTTATTATATACTTACAAGGCTACCAAGCAAGGCTTCTGTATATACTATATATACTACATGTACTACTACTTCCGCATTCCGTGGGTTAGCTTCTTGTTGAGTAGTTTTATCAAGACTGGACAAGAGTCCATAACGGGGTTATGGACTCTTGGTTTTATGAATTGAAAATAATGGTTTTGACCAGGGAGTCGTAAAATACCGGTACAGTCGTCCCTCTCTAATCCGGCACTTTATAA